TGCACAGATCAAGATCTTAATTGAAGCCATAACTGACTTCCAGGTCCAGGAAGACATATAGAATTAGAAGCTATGAAATCCATTGCTTGATGGGAGGAGCTAACAGTCCTGGCGACAAAAATGGAAACGAGCATAATGTGAGCTAAAGGATAAAGTGCATTTCTGGTGATTATCTGTGTAGGAATGTACATACTGGAACACTCTACCTTGCCTTAAGGGAGCAGTGCCAGAGTCCCAGAGTGCCAGAGTGCTACATGTGTCAGTCTATTTGAGCTGAAGAAACAAATTCCAGATAAAATTGGGGGGGGGGGAATCCCCAAACAAAAAGAATCCTATTCCTGGGCACTGGTGGCTCATGGCTGTAATCCTAGTCATGCAGGAGGCTGAGATCTGAGAATTGTGGTTCAAAGACAGCCCAGGCAAAAAAGTCTAAGACAGGAAGTGGGGCTGTGCTACAAACTGGTAGAGCGCTAGCCTTGAGCAAAAAGAGCTCAGGAAGAGCACCCAGGCTCTTAGTTCAAGCTCCACAACCAGAAAACTCTGTTGAACTACTAAGAAACTCCTCCTGCAAAGGGTAAGAGTCTGTGCATGGAAAATAATTTTAATTCCTATTTTAGAACCAGAATTTAAAAAAAAATTCTTAGCTCTGGATTTAAAAAGTCATTTTTATCTTTAAACAGTTGTATGAAGCTTTTTAATTAAATGTCAATTTATGTGTATATCATGATCAATGTCACCCCTCCTATTGTTCTCCCACCTCTATGCCAACTCCATCTGTCCCTTCAAGTTCATTTGAAGGGAACTACATAGTGCTGAGAAAAATTCATATTGAGTGCATGCAACAGAGGGTTGCATGCATATACAATCAAACAGACCAAAGTATGGTATACACAGGGCTGAATTTTCATGGTGAAACCCCTTTGAAAAATTTATTAACAGTTTAACCAATGAATAGCAGGAAGAGGAAATACATCTTTTCTGAATGAAGTGGAGACTACAGGGAGGGTGTGGACAAATGGAGAGAAATGGTGGGCAAATAGTTATAATGGTCAGGGTGCATATGTGAAAACAAAACCAGTGTTGACATCATAACAATTCTCTACTTTTCCTCTTGCTGGCCATACTTTGAAAAGGTAAATGGAGGAGCATCTGACAAACTATCCCTTGCTCACATGACTATAAGGGACAGAGATATTGGGAAAGTAAATTGGCCTTTTACAATGTGGATAAAGGACTAGTTGCTTATTGTGTGTGTGTGGGGGGGGAGAGACCAGTATATAAAAAGGTGGTATGGGAGGTAGAAGAATATGGTCATAAAATTCAGTGTATAACCTATAAAATTAAGACAATTAAGGAGAGGGTGAGGGTTAGGAGACATGGGGATGATAAAAGAGGTGACACAGATTAAGATATTGTACTCATAAACAATTTGTACAATAGTAAAAAATACTTTAAAATAGAGGTGGTAGTTTCCTTAGGATGATGCAACTCTTTTGTACTGTGATATCTGTAATGGTTACAGGTTTACCTGTTAAATTTCACGTAAGTATACAACAAAAAGTTAACTTATGGTATGATCAGAAGAAATGAGAACTAAATTAGTCACCTCCAGATCCTTGGTCACTTTCAAGTATGTATTTATATATCCTAATCAAATTACTTGCCTCACTTTCCCCTACTGCTTTATACAAGGTGAGTTAATGCTAACATTCCATTACAATTACATTTACATTATAGGATATCAAGATGGGACTGAAACTGAATTGAGTGGACTGAACATCAAGCCATGGATGGATTTAAGTAACTGACAGAAACTTGGATCTTCCCTTAGGAGAGATGAGTGTACTTATGTTTGATTTAGGGGAATGTGTTAGGATAGGCAGGAGCAAGCTGCTGTTATGACTAGCTGTCATTTAGAAGCATGAGAAGGGTGTGCTGTCTGGTGAAAGTGGTGATTAAGTTATTAACACAGATTGGTGCTTGTGATGCAGACTCTAAGACTCTGAAGATACCCCCACCCATGATCTCATGTTCATGTCTTTCAGTAATCCTTTCCCCTTGAGTGTGGGCAGGACCTGTAACTTTTTTTTAAAAAATGTCTTTTTAATCTTTAAGTAGTTGTACAAAGGGGTTTCAACTCAACCAATCAATTTATAAGTGCAATGCATCTTGATCAATGCCACCCTGTAACTTTATTTTAACTAACAGCACATGGCAAATGGAGGGAACCACTACTACAATTATATCAGATAAGGCACTCTTGCTGGCAAACTAACCCTAAAGACTCTTCTTGCTTGCTTGATGAAGTGGACATTTTGGAGAAGCCCACAGGGCAAAGCAATATAGACAGCTTGCAGAGGCTGAGGGCAGCTGTTAGGAACTGAGGGAAGTCTTTAAGAGCTGAGAGCACCCTCTAGTTAACTACCAGAAAGCTGTATCTCCAGACCTAACACTGTATAGAAATTAATTCTTTCTATAGCTTGAGTGAGCTTGGAAGTGGAATCTTCCCCAGTTGCGTCTCTACCTGAGAAACAGAGTGGCTGACAACCTGGATATGGCATTGTATAATCCTAGTCAGAGGACCTAACTGAGCCCATAGTTATGACTCACAGAAATGGTGAGATAATATGTTGTGCTCTTTGTACAGTAATAAAGTACAACTCTTAATGTGCTCTCCTGTACTTCAGACTAAAAGCAGACTTCCCAACTTCCCTTGCATATATAATTTTGCATTTGTTATAGGCCAATCAAATGATATGTGAGATGTGATTGATTGTCAGAAGTGAAGGAGAGGCTATGCTTCTACCACCTCTATGAGTAAACACAGTTGTGGGGATATGTGGCTGTCCTATTACAATTTTGTCATTAACTTGTGGGTGCTGAGGGGCAGAGGCATGGCATCTATTTTGCTGCTGTAAATCATAGTGAATGGAGTATGGTTCTAGAAGCAGTGGAGGCAGTGATAGGAAGTAGCAGTTTCTTCACCATAGAACAGTTAGGAATTCCCCTGGTGGCCTACGAGCACATGGATGGCTCTTGAAAGCTCGGTTTAGCTAGTCCCTGTCATAATTATTTAAGCCACTTAATATCCAGTAATCAATATTTTCTTGCCTAAGCAAATTAGGAGTGATTCCTGTTCTTTACAACTGAATTCTGAATTGATACAAGTGCTATCTAAGTGCAAATACACCACAGAAAATAATATGAATTAATAATGAATCTTTTAAAGTAAACAATTTTCATGTTCAATATAACATTTATTTTTATAAAGACAAATGAATTACCTTATATCATTTAACATAAAAGGTATAATGAACTGGATCAATGTGAAACAATAACATAAAATTTTAAATATTAAGAAGGTATTTGCTTAACAAGGCAGCAGCTATAAAACTATAATGTATTAGCTTATTTCTCCTGCAGATTCAGAAAATGTCTTAACTTCCATTTATAATCTTTCTGCAATTCAGAAAGCTCTTAGCCTTCAATCTTAATTATTCTAAGCTAAAAATACAATGTTCAATAATCTTCACTGTATTGACTTTAAAATAATACCAAATATTAATAACATACACTCTTAGAAAGGATTTATTGTAAATACAAATGACAAAATGTTCAATGAAGTGTGTATAATAGTGCCTGTATATATAGGATAAACCATATCTTTCAAGTGGTATTTTAATTCAATTTAACCATTGCATAACAGCAGATGTGAAATGTTTTCATATAAACTATTACCAATTTTAACATTTGGACATACTTCAATTGTTCTAGTAAAGGCATAGATGGTTATTTACCAGCTATCTCTAAGTGGTAACTTCCTTGAAAAGACAATGTGACTGAATCATCTTAAAGTCACTACCAATAAATGTTTGGCCACATCCCACAGATGAATTTTCAAAGGCTCAACTTGAAAATTCTTTAACTTCTCTGAAAGTAACATGTTCTATGGCAATGAAGTCCTCTATGTTGTTTTGTTCACAGTAGATTCTTGCTAAAGGCTGATGTAACAACTCCTTAGACAGAGAAATCATGTGTAACTATAAAGAAGGTCTGCCTGCCCCATCTGGACAAGTCAATGGGCTTAAAACCCATCTTTTTTTTTTTTTTGTAAATGGCAAAAATTTTTAATCTCATCTATAGTCCTTAGGAAAATCTTTTTTGAAAATAAAGAAGTGCCAATGTATTATTTCTCCCTATTTTCTAAGTCAACTGCTTAAACAATTGATTTAGTCAGAAACAGAGCAGAAGAGTTTAGTGTAGTTTACTTTTTTTTCATTTTAAAAAATAAAGTGCTAACAAAGCCCATTATATCTCCAAATGGACTTTCATGTAATGATTGAAATGAAAGCAGCATAAGGTATATAGAAGTTATCCATCCATTTAATCAGTCAAAAACTTTTCAGCTAGTTGTTTTTAGCTATACATTATCTTGGCAAGTATCACATGTTAAGTACAGCTTATGTACTTGCCAGACTAATACGAAAAATTTGGTCATTTTGCATATACCTTACTATCTATTGTAAATGAGAATTTGATAAAAATCCAAAGTCTAAAGCTAGGACCAAAGCAGTCACAAGTTACTTGAGACAAATACAACAAACAGTAGTGCTCTGAAGGATTTCTAGTTGTCAGTCCAATGAGACTCCTATACAGTTAGCTTAAACATTTTCAAAAAGCTTAAATCTGAATCCAATGTTGTTTTTCTTTGTCAGTCATGGGGCCTTAACTCTGGGCCTGAGCGTTATTCCTCAGCTCGTCAGCTCAAGGCTAGCACTCTACCACTTGAGCCATAGCTCCACTTCTGGCCTAGGGCCTCATGCATGCAAAGCAAGCACTCTATCACTGAGCCACCTTCCCAGCCCCCAATGTTGTTTTTCTTTACAGTAGCCCAGAGTTTAGAATTATTGATTTGTTTTTATCAGTAACAGAGTTGGGAACAAGTATAAGTAAATAGCTTTTCAATCCTTCAGATTCAGAGAATGCACAAGTTCCATTACTACACCAAATGAAGTTAACTTTAATGTGTTACTAGTATTTTATTTAGCTAACATGAAAAGGAAGGTCCCAAATGGTAACAAGCTTGTACACAATTTTGAGTATAGATCTAAGGGTCCTTTTTTCTAATGTATTTTAGTAGGATTGAAGTAATCTGACATATGACATGATATGACATGTCAGTACTATTTACTAATACAGTCACCTTTTCAAAATCTTCAGTAATTTGTGTCAAAAATAGCACTAGTCAGTAATTTCCTTAATAAAATGGTATAGTGGTGCCCTCTGGTGGTCTCACTGAGCATACTCCTCTTATACTACATATTTTGTGGCATAGGAAAAAACCCTGTATTTGAGAATATAAAAAATTGAGATGATAAAGGAATGGATCATTGTGCTTCTGTAACTTTGTCTCATTTTGCTTTCAAATGTACTGGTTAATAAGATAACTCCCTGAGTCTTACTCCCAGGAATCAAGCTGACAGCTACAAGAATCCAGGGAAAACTATCTGAGATGGACAATTCCTTCCAACTAAGAGATGTGAACCTTGGTTCTAGATTTTAACTGAGAGATTTTTGCATTTTCTAACTTGGCTTTTAAATCTATGTGTTTCTCAAAAAACCTCACCAAGACTGGTTCATTCAACAGAGATGCAAGAATCTGTTCAAATGAAAATGACCACTGATGATCCTCCTTTCGAGAGGCAGCCTTTCTCTCCAGAAAGCTCTCTGTATTCTCCACACTGGTTCCTTCAGCAGCACTGATTGCAGCAGAGATTTCTTGGGCAGATGATGAAGGGCTATTTAGTTTCCTTCCAAGTTCTTCCATCCTGAGCAAAAGGCTGGTTACAACAGCAATGGCTTGATATAATGACTCTTCTTCAGTGTCCTCGTGAAATAAGTTGTAGAGGGTCTTTGAAAACTGAATAAACTGTGACTAGAAGACATACAATAGAAATAGAACATTTTCAACATAGCAAAACAGAGACCTTAGAAGAGGGTACTGGTCCTATAGAAATTTGTAGCATGTAATCTTCACCCCAGAAGTATAGATTAATTCCAGAGTAAAATTTGCTTCTAAGAAGATGCATAGGAAACATAGAAGAACATTCATTCCGGCCCTTGTGCTTGTTGCCTAATAGCAGCCCATTATATACATACTGATTCCCAGTTACTCTGCCTACCAGCATTATTTCAGTGTATTTTTATTAAGCCACCTTTTATATTTCTCTACATATAAATCATTTATTCCTTGACAATTTTTTTTTGGTCGGTCGTGGGGCTTGAACTCTGGGCTTGGGTGCTGTCCCTGTGCTCTTCAGCTCAAGGCAAGTGCTCTACGGCTTGAGCCACAGCGCCACTTCCTTCCTTGACAAATTTTAACCAAAGGACTGAAGACAAATTCTATTGTACTTCTTCAAATAATTCGGTGTACTTTTTATTAAGCTAACTTTCATACTTCTCCATATAAATGACAAATTTAGGGAAGAACAACTCTTAGAAACCTACCTAACAGTAGAAGATTAACTCTAAGGAACATGTGAACATGTTCCTCTTTAAACTAGAGTATGGTCAAAGTGAAGAGGAACTGATTATTCTACTAATTGCCCTTAGATAATCCACAGATTGTCCCAGAAAATATTTGCCAATTTCAAAAATAATTCCAGGGACTGGGAAGGTGGCTCAGTGGTTGAGCGCTTGCTTTGCATGCCTGAGGCCCTGGGTTCGATTCCTCAGCACTACATAAGCAAAAAGAAAAAAGCCAGAAGTGGTGCTGTGGCTCAAGTGGTAGAGCACGAGCTGAAGAGCTGAGGGACAGTGCCCAGGCCCTGAGTTCAGGCACCACGACCGGAAACCCCCCCCAAAAAAACAAAAAAAAATTCTAATACAAGAATTGTATGTCAATCAGAAAAGTTTTATTTAGAAATAATGGTATATGTAAAGGATATCATTCATAAGATATATGATAACAAATGCTTGTGTTCTTCCTTAGTACTATAAGTTTATAGTAATTTTAGAATAAGTATCTTAATAATTAATTTTAAAAGTACTTATTCCTCTGTCAAATCACATAGTCCATTAAGAAATACTAAGCTATTTGATAGTTCTCATCTTGGCAAAGTTCTTGTGATTCTTATATCTGTATCAGCTAGATTTTACTTTTTAAAAAATCTAAGGGGTTGCGAAGGTGGCTCAGTGGTAAAGTGCTTGCCTTGCATGCATGAGGCCCTGGATTCGATTCCTCAGCACCACATAAGCAGAAAAAGCCAGAAGTGGAGCTATGGCTCAAGTGGTAGAGTGCTAGCCTTGAGCTGAATAGCTGAGAGACAGTGCCCAGGCCCAGAGTTCAGGCCCCACAACATGCAAAAAGAAAAAAGAAAAAAAATAAGAATAGCCAGGCATATGAGGCTCATGCCTGTAATCCTAGATATGCAGGAGAATTGTGGTTTGAAGCCAGCACAGGGAAGATAAAGTATTGTTTTTGTTGTTGGTTGTGGGGCTTGAACTCGGAGCCTGGGCACTGTTCCTAAACATTTCAGCTCAAGGTGAGCACTCTCTCTCTTGAGCCACAGCACCATTTCCAGTTTAAGTGGAGATAAGAGTGGTTAAGTGGAGATAAGAATCTCATGGACTTTCCTGCCTGGGCTGGCTTTGAGCCACAATCCTCAGATCTCAGCCTCCTAAGAAGCTAGGACTACATGCGTGAGCCACAAGTACCCATGGTAGCCTGGCTCAAGTGGTACAGTAAGAGCTGTGAGTGAAAAAGGCCAGTGAAAGCACAAAGACTGAGCTCAAGCCCTGTTACTGGCATTATGCATGCATACACATGTGCGCGCACACACACACAAACATATTCTGATAAGAATGATGAATTAAAAACTGTCAAAAATAGTTATCAGTATAGTCTCTAAAGGTTCATATACAAGATCATTAGGCACTAAGGTTCGACCTATTTTAGTAATTTCTTAGTCTTGTTTCTTAGCAGTCACTAAATGTATAGTGGATAGATGAACATTTCCATTAATCCTAGAAATATGCTATTTATACATTTTTCTACAGACTCAAATTGTTATAGCAGAGGGACTATCTGGAATATTATATGTATTGACGTATTTAATGTAAAAAAACCATTTAAAAAGTTGTTTCCTTCTTTATGGTCACCTGAAACGTACAAAGATAATACATAGAGTATTTTTGTAATAGTATATTAGTGATTTTTGTTTTCTCCACACCCATATTCATACAAAAAAGCAAGAACCAAGAATTTTCTCTTTGAAAGTACTATACCTGACTCATTCTTGGTAAATCTTTAATGTTTTCTTGTTTTTTGAGAAGCTCGTCTTGCCACTTATTTATATATGCTTGAATATCAACATTTCCTAAATGAGGAGAATAAAATTGCAGTAAGCAGCCCATTTCAAAAAGAATAATTATGATTGAAAGACATTTCAATGAGATATAACATTTCGTCTCTTTTAACCCAGGAAACAATCTGAATTTACCTTTTATTTCAACCTATTGGCTTTCAGAATACTTTCTCCATTTTCATTTAGACTAAAATTTTATTTTGGGAAAGTTTAAGAATAGGGAAAACATGGAGAGAGAGGAGGAAAAGCTGTATTTAAATTAACAATCCAAATATCATGTTATCATTCTCAAGTGAACTAAGTTTAAACTAGTTACTATAATTCTCTTTTTTGTGAGGGTACTGGGGCTTGAAGTCAGGGCCTGGATGCTGTCCCTTAGTTTTTGTGCTCAAGGCTAGCATTCTACCACTTGAGCCATAGCTCCACTTCTGGGTTTTGGTAGTTAATTGGAGATGAGAGACTCATGGACTTTTCTGCTCAGGCTGGCTTTGAACTGAGGTCTTCAGATATCAGCTTCCTGAGTAGCTAGGATTATGGTGTGAGTCACTGGTGCCCATCTAATCCAGCTACCAGAATTCTTAGTATGAAGATAACCAAGTGGTGTATAGTGGCTCTTTAAAAAAAATTCACTGGGCTGGGAGGGTGGCTCAGTGGTAGAGCACTTGCCTTGCATGCCTGAGGCCCTAGGTTCGATTCCTCAGCACCACATAAGCAAAAAGAAAAAAGCCGGAAGTGGCGCTGTGGCTCAAGTGGTAGAGCGCTAGCCTTGAACTGAAGAGCTGAGGGACAGTGCCCAGGCTCAGAGTTCAGGCCCCACAACCAGACACCCCCCCCAAAATATATATATATATATATATATATATAATTCACTATCCATTGAGGAGTAAACATGATTAAAGCACATTATTTGCATGTATGAAAATAGCACAATATGTACAATATTTTTTCAGTCATGGGGCTTGAACTTTGTCCCTGAGCTCTACAGCTCAAGGCGATCACACTACCACTTGAGCCACAGCACCACTTCTGGTTTTCTGGTGGTTAACTGGAGATAAGAATCTCATGGATGGGGCTGGGAAGTGGGCTCAGTGGTAGAGCACTTGCCTTGCATGCCTGAGGCCCTGGGTTTGATTCCTCAGCACCACATAAGCAAAAAGAAAAAAAAAACCGGAAGTGGTGCTGTGGCTCAAGTGGTAGAGCACTAGCCTTGAGCTGAAGAGCTGAGGGACAGCGCTCAGGCCCAGAGTTCAGGCCCCACTACCGGACTCCCAAAAAAAGAATCTCATGGACTTTCCTGCCTGGGCTAACTTTGTTTTTGTACAATTAATTTATACTAATAAAATATAGTTAGTCCAGATGACTGTAATGTGATTTTAAATAATCATTTGAGATCCCCTGATTGTCAGGCACTAGTGGCTCACGCCTATAATCTCAGATACTTGAGATCTGAGTTTCATGGTTCAAAGCCAGCCCAGGTAGGATAAGTCTGAGTGACTCTTATCTCCAATTAACTCACAGAAAACTGGAAATGGAGATGTGGATCAAAGTGGTATAGCACTAGCTTTGAATAAATGAGCTCTGAGCAAATGAGCTCAGGACAGTGCCCAGGCCTCAAGTTCAAGCCCCCTGACTGACCAAAACAAAAGAAGAGAAAAAGAAAAAAAGGGGTCCTAGAAGTCAAATTCGGGCTACTCTGGGGGTACAGAGAACTGTAGACTTGCTAGCTAAATTTGAATTCTGGGAATGAGGCCATCCTATTTCAAGGCCAAGAGTTCAAGCCCCAGGACTAGCAAAAAAAAAACATGTCTAAAATTATCAAAATATATATTTTTTAATTTCTGAGACTTAAGTAACATAAGAAAGAATAAAAATTTAAACTCAAAGCAAGTTCTCCGGACAAATAGTTTTTAAAAGGAATCTTAATGTTTTCCACTTTATAGATATGCTTACTTGTAAAATCAATAAATTTTAACTGAGCATGATAGCAAATTCCTAGAATCTTTGTACTCAGACGGCGGAGGCAGGTAGATCTTGAGTTTGAAGAAAGCCCCAGTGTTTATCATAGTGAGCCCATGTATCAAAAAACCCCAATAATTTAATAAACTAAATAGTTTTATTAGGTCATAGTACCTTTTATAGAGCTGGGTTTTCTTAATTCTGATTTCTTCTTATTTGCAGGTCTGGAAACTAAAGAGAAAAGAAGGCAATTGATTATCTGAAAGTATTTTACAAATATATTTTAAAAGCAAAATACCATTTCACACAAAGATAAGAACATGCTATTTTTTAATTCAGCAGGCCAATTTTAGCTGACCTCACCTGCCATGAGACAACAAAGTATTAAAAACTCTTCACAGTAGAAAGGACACTAGAAAAATATTAATATTTTTTAAAATCCTAGAAAGAAGTATATCAAAGATTAAGTATTTATTTATGGGTGGTATTTTCTTCCTTTTATTTTTGTATTTTTTTCTTTGTGACTTGTTTCAAAGATGATCAGGAAGGAAAAAAAAATCACATAGCCATACTGCAAGACCATACCCCATTGTGAAACCACTTCCCCTGGACCTCAGTACCTTTCTCTGACAATGGTTTGATTAAACAAGTTACTTGTAAGGTATCTACAGCTGATGTTCACTTTAACACACATTAATCAGAACTCATGCCCCTGTATAAATGAAGTATATAACACACATACGTATCATTTATTTATGGTCACGACAGCCCAGCCTGAGTGGTAAAATCCCATCTCCAAACAACAAAACTGTAAACTTTTAAAGAAATATTTACCATGGAGCTTGCTGAAATAAAGCAATTCTTCTGTTGTAAGATCATCTCCCTTTGAAGAATCCTTAGTTATTTCAGTATAAGCTGAAAACATGTAACCCAAACGGTTAGGTAAATGTGGGAGCAGGAATTTAAGCAAGGGATTGTGTAAAAAAAAAAATAAAAGTATTATACAGTAAATTCAGTAAGTATCTGATCACTTGGTGTTCTATTATTTCTTTTGTTTGCTTCTTAATAATATCCAGCAAGACATTACCAGTTGAAATAATGGGAAACTTGATAATGAATTGTGGGAGGAGGGAAGAAGGATGAGGGAAAACGATGGAAGGAGTGACTGATCAAGATGCACCAGACACATAAGTAGACATGTTAAATTTTAACCTCCTATATAACCATTTGAAGATTAAAAAATAAAACAACAATAACAACAAAAATGGTAATTTGGAAATCTCTGAACTTAAGGCCCTGGCTATTTTTCTGCCTTAATTCCCACCTGAACATTACTGAGTAGTAATGTGTGCCCCACTTTTGATCACCCTGACTGTTGTATAGATGGAAATATAAAGCTTTCCACTGTAAACCTAACTTGACTGCAAACCTTTTTATAAACTAAAATGATTTGTCTTTTGATTTTGCCATTTGAGGGCGTGAATTGTTAAAGATTGCTTTTACTTTTTTGGTCTGTTAACGAATGTTTCCTGGCTAACCTGAGAAGACTTTAAAAGGGATTCCAATTGTGGCTTCAGACAAAATATGAAGCAATGTTTTGCATCTGTGAATTACACTATGTACTTTAAAAAATGTTCCTTCAGTTTCAAAAATAAGAGTGTTTTCTCTGAGTAGAGATGGTCTAGAAAAGATGTGGTCTTCCAGTCAATAATAGTAAAAACTTGTATAAACTGGAACTTTGAGGAAATAGGGTAGAATAGAAAGTTGAACTTTGGCGTCATAGACAATCCTCAGTTTGAATCCCAACTATGTAATCTCTGTTAAATAATCTACTCTTTCCAACCCTCCATTTCCTTATTGTCAAAACTCTCAGGATATTATCACCTTCCAGGGATAGTCTAAGGCTTAAATGAAAGAATACATGTGAAGTGAAAGCCTCCACATAGCAAATGTTCAATAAATGATAGCTTTTATTTCGTCCTTTCCAAGTATTTAATATCCCTGCTGTCTGGTCCCATTTTTCTGAAAAATTTGTAGTATTTTGTAAGTCTGGTAGTTTGTAGCTTGTTTAAAGTTAATCTCTAATTCTAGTAATGAGAACAACAAAAATTCAACATTATATCAATATTCAAATGATAGAGATCAGATATGTGCCTGTAATTCCAGCACTCTGGAGACTTAAGGGTGGAAGATTGAAATTCAAGGCTAGTCTGAACCTTATCTCAAAAACAAAAGATGTAATTTTTCTACAGAAACTACTTATCATTAAACTAATTAAACCAAAAGTCATTTGTAGACCATCTGTTATAAAGAATCTCTTCCATAGATTTCATCATCTATCTACATGAACAAAATGTGGTAATATGATTTCAGACCACAAGACAACAGTAGTTGTCATATCACATTTCAAATTTGTTGAAAAGGCACAATATTTAAATTATGCTTATTACAATGAAATGAACTACTGCTTTAGATCATTAAAGACTGTCAAATTCTTACCTGGGGGAACATGTAGCTTAAAAAGCAGCTTAAGCTTCTCAGTAAAACTTCCATTGTACATTATATCTGTTCAATGAAATACAATTGGAAATGATCATTTATCCAATGAACAGCAAATCAATTCAGCTAAAGAGACTAATTAAGATACAGACACTAGCAGGAAATAGGAATTAGAAATATTCTTTTATTTAAGCTAACAGTTAAAACAATCATTCAGGTAGCCAAAATATTTCAGACATATAAGTAAAATATTCTCTCAGTAGAAAATGTTTTCCTCTCCTATCTCCTTTTCCCCAACCTCAGATTTGTTTTGTCTTTTGGATAAGGCCTATGTGTCTTGAGTAAAGCAAGATCTGTTCTTCAAGGGACAATCTGTGAAAAGAAAGCATAGCTAGGGAGTCTGAAGAAGCAAAGCAATACTATTTTCATGCACAATATACTGAGTTCAGGAACATGTTTGCCGGGTGATTCTCTGACTCTGCTAAGCTATACCATTGTTTTCTTATTGAAGGGGATAATCTTTCTGTTGCATCCATGCAGTTGAGTTTGGAAAAAAAATACCAAGACATTATTTTCCTTCATGTTAACCATGAAAACATCTGAGAAGGAGTGTGTCCTTCTCAGAAGGTTGGGGTAAAATGAGATCAATATACTTAGTTTTAGCAACAAACACATAAAAAGGTCCAGTAATTCTGGAGACAGTATAACCCAGGGTGGTATCATCAGACTAGATGGCAATAATTAACAGAGTACTAAGTATTTCTAAGGTGAACTTATTTTTTGCTTAAAAAACTTAGTGGACATCTGCCTACCAATTGCAGAGGCGAATTCTTTGAAGTTTATAAGGCAATCAGAATTTTCATCCAACAATCTGAATGTCCATAGAGCTAGTGAGTCTCTGTTTGCGGAACATGCCCAGGGACTCAACAAGTGATACAACACCCTGAACTGCTGGCAGTCGATCTGATACTGTTCCAAATATGGCAGGCTGGGGTCGTGGTGTTTCAATTCTGAATAACCCACACACCAATAATAAGATAAAAACAGCTCTTTCTATTAAAAACAAATAAAAAGGCAAGTCATTAAAGCAGAAAAAGTGATTACAGAACATTTTCTTCTTAAAACATTTCTGCTAAAAAAAGACAAAAATATCTACAGTGAGTTATGGTCAAATGTTGCTAAGAGTTTTATTATTCACAAGAACAACAAGAATACCTTAAAGATAGCATAAAGTTCATCCAGTTCCTGAAGGCTCAGTTTAACATCTTGTGATACAACACGCATCTTTAAAAAGAAAAAAGCAATTAAAAATTTGACACTTTATTAATGCTTCAGATCTGCTTAAGAGTCTCCTTTTGTCAGGAGAAAACAGTTTTCCTTTCAATTTTCTAGAGAAGTAACAAAGTCAAACGCACCTACTTTACCCTTTGTATATGGACTACAGTTCAATTTTACTCTGATAAAGTATTTTGATAGTTATTTATTCAGATCCAGTAATTCCTGCCAGATGACAGCAACTAAAAGTCTATAAATTTCAGCAGCACTATTCTAAGTATCATTCCTTATATTCCTCTTGTCACATAAGCAATTTATCCAGTCATCAAGCAAAGTTGTCATCAAATACTTCAAAGGCATCAGGAGATGTGCATTTCTCTCTATGTCAAAAATATAATCCAAGAAATAAGCTGAGAAAATCTGTAATTTTATCCTGCCCCAAGAAGCAGCAACATTAATTGTATAAACATCATAGTATTTGAATAACTGAAAACCAATTGTAGGCTGGGCACCAGTGGCTCATACCGGTAACCCTAGCTATTCAGTAGGCTGAGATCTGAGGATCACAGTTTGAAGTCACCCTGGGCAGGAAAGTCCATGAGACTTTCCAATAACTACCAAAAAGACAGAAGTAGAGCTGTTGGCTCAAGTGGAAGAACACCAGCCTTGAGTGAAAAAGCTAAGGGCTTTGTGCTCAAGCCCACTACTGGCATATACGTGAAAAAGCAAAGGTAAAGATAATTACTATAATTAATAAAAGCGAATATTAACCCTTCCCCAGAAGATTCAATAAACAAAATGAGAAGTGGCTCATTGAAATAATGGATTAAGACAAATGTGTGATCATACTAGCAAGTGTGATTAAAAGAAATGTGCACAAATGAGTCAGGTGCCAGTGGTTCACACCTGTAATCTTAGCTACACCAGAGTCTGAGATCTAAGGATCATGGTTCAAAACAACCCAGGTAATAAAGCCTGGGAAATTCTTAACTCCAAAAAAATACCAGCCCCCCCCCCCCAAAAAAAAGCTGGAAGTCAAACTGTGGCTCAAGTGGTAGAGCACTATCATTGGGCAAAAAGAAGCTTAGGGGCAGCACCCAAGCCTTGAGTTCCAGCCCTAGGATTGACACTAAAAAAAAAAAAAAAAAAAAAATCACAAATGAAAATCATTGAGAAAAAAAGGATAATAAAAGTGTGGATATGAAACTCATCAAAATGCCTACAACAAAGAAGACAGGGTGAAGTATCTGTTGAATGAATTCCACAAGCTTTAGACTAATCTAACTGAAAATCTAGATAAAACAGGTAAATTTCTTGGAAAAGATAAATGATCAAAATTAACTCATAGCAAGTAAATTTGGACAGAAATGAAAACATTTGAGGTATGAAGAAAATCCAAGAAGTTACATACACAGAAGTATATATATGTGAATATAGCATAATGAAGTGTATCCGATGTTTCAAAAAGGGGGACAAAAGAATGGGAATACTGTGAAGGTGGTGAATTTTTTCAAAAGGTTCTGTGTACATGTAATGTATGGGGACACCACAATGAAACACCCCTACATGGCAAATATACATTAACTGAAAATTAAAATGTAAAAAAAGAACTAAAAGATAATCAAGGATCTCCTACTTAAAGGCAGCCAACCTACACGATTCTGAGTAGTAAGAATTATAGATATGAACCACTGGCCTGGCAAAAGGACATTCTTATACATTGTGAGTGGGATTGTAATTTGGTACAAATTTTAGAGGGTAATTTATCATGATTTGTGAAATTTTAGATAGACATACACTTTTGCCTAGTTTCTACTTTGAAACTTATAAAAATACAGTTTAAAATATAGGTAGAAGTATGTTTATATTGTGTCATCTTTATTTTTTTTAGGTCTGAGACTGGGACTTGCTGGCTAACATTCTACCAAGTGAGCTAAGTCTCAAACCCACACCATGTTATATTTAAGAAAAATGGTGACATTAAAAGTGTATGAAAAGGAATAGTTAAGTCCACAGCCTATCTATAGCATGGTATAATGTTTAGTACATTAAGAAGACTGATTTACGTCTGTATGAACTGACAAGTAAGAATCATGATATATATTTTTGTGTGCTAGTCCTTGGGCTTGAACTCAGAGCCATGGTGCTGTCCTTTAGCTTTTTTGCTCAAGGCTAGCACTCTACCACTTTCTTCACATCCAGCTTTTTTGGTGTTTAATTGGAGATAAGAGTCTCTCAGGGTTTTTCCTTCCCAGGCTGGTTTCCAATCATGATCTTCAGATTACAACCTCCTGAGTAGCTAGAATTACAGATGGCTCCATGATGTATTTTTAAATGACAAAAGCTGCAGAACAAAGTGAGTGGTATGATGTATAATTTCATTTAAAAAGCTACGTCTCTTCCCTACCTACCTACACTTGCATGTGAACAAATATATAGGAAAAAGATTTAGAAGGTTATATACTAAATCATTTTGAGTTGGTTACTACCAGGCGGGAGAACCTTGTAATGCCTGAATCATTTAAAACAAATACACATAATCTTAAACACAAAACCTAAAAAAAAATGGGCTCTAGGTTAACTATGCCACAGAAAACATCATGAATTATTTAAATGAAATCTAAACTTGAAGTCTTCAGAAATGTTTATCTTTCTAGATTTTATCTGTGCAGACCTGGGCTTTAAGCAGGCTGGTTTACAAAACAACAAACCATCAACAAAGATCAAGCCTTTTAGAACAATATAAACAGTGGAGTAAAAGTATTCCCCTTTGACTAGTAATCTATTCATTCAACTAACCAAAAGAAACCAAGATGGCTTCTTGCAGAGCCATCCAAATATTTAGAAAGTGAGCACTATGCCCTTTTGCTTTACTTATGTATCCAAGGAAATTAATGCTTATTAGCACAACTATTGCAAGATCAATTGTACTTACTAAAGCAGCATGTTATAACTGTGTGACAGTTATACACCAACATCACAGCATTTCAGTACTGTGTTGCAGTAGTGTCAAAGGTCAAGTAACACCGTGACCTTTACTCCACCTTTACTGGTGGAGTAAACAAAGCAACTCAGCCTGAATAAAACAACATATTTCTTCTAAAATATTTACAATAAGGAAAACTTTGCTAAGAATCTAGTTCAAAAGTTTAGTCTCTTTCATTTTATTCACATGGAATAATAGTTGTTTTTTTTTTTTTTGTCTGTTTTTGTGCCAAGGTTTGACCTGGGGGCCTTGAATGCTTGCTTAGCTTTCTTGCTCATGGCTGGCACTTTACCACTTGAGCCATGGGTCCAGCTCAGCTTTTTGCTGATCTCACACTTTTTCTGCTTAGGTTTGTTTCTGAGATCGTCAAATCTCAGCCTCCTGAGTACCTAGAATTACAGATGTCAACCATCAGTGCTTGGCTTGGAATGTTTATTTTTCTTCTAAAATATAATTTTACTGTTATTAAGATGTTGTACAAAGAAGTTACCATTCTGTAAATCAGGTAATGAGTACAATTCTTTTTTTTTTTCTTTTTGTCGGTCATGGGGTCTGAGCTCTGGGCCTGGGCGCTGTCCCTCAGCAATTCAGCTCAAGGCTAGCGCTCTACCACTTGAGCCATAGAGCCACTTCTGGCCTTTTCTGTTTATGTGGTGCTATGGAATCGAACCCAGAGAGCCTCATGCATGAAAGGCAAGCAGTCTACCACTGAGCCACCTTCCCAGCCCAAATGAGTACAATTCTTTTTTTTTATTATGAAAATACCATACAGAGGGGTTACAATTACATGAGCCAGGTAATGAGTACATTTCTTATCAAGCATTGTTGCCTCCTCCTTTGTTTCCCCTTCCCATCCTTTTCTATACCCCCCCCCACCAAAGTTGTAAAGTTATTCTTTTGGGACAATTTCACTCTTTCTTTCACCTTCCCCTAGTATCCCCCTCCTGTCCTTGCCCACAAGTTGCATAGTTCATTTTCCACATAGTGTATACTGAACACCATGGCTGCTTTTGTTGATTTTTCCTCCCTCCATTTCTGTGTCTCCCTTTGCCCCCCTCAAAAAAAAAGCAAAAACAAATACCACCACCAAACCATTTCCATTTTGTGGCTTTTGTTTCAATAGTTAAAATACTACTTTATTGAAACATCTAAAATGATACTCATTATGCTTTTGGGTTCCTCATCTAAGAGTATTCTACTTAAGTCTGTTTTTGAATACCTAGAGTCTTGTATAAGTTATCATGTCCAGTTTATTTTAGATCTAGCTTCTACTTATGAGAGAAAATGTGCTGTTTGACTCTCTGAGTTTGGCTTGCCTCACTACATGATTTGCTTTAGGTCCATCTATAAGAAAGGAAGTTAAAGAAAAGGTATGTTGCATTAACTGTTTTCTCCCAATAGATTCATACTCACCACGTTCTGCTTGGTCGTTTGTTCTAGAGTCTGTATCACATACAACCGATTTCGACAGCGCATGCTATGTATATCTTCATAGCGAAGGTTACCATATTTCTGCAGGAAATTATTTGAATGGATACTCATTCATCACAATTATCTGCTGCTTCTATAACTGAATTTCTTCACTCAATTCTCAGGGCATTGGTTCTATTTCTGATTTGTTCAGTGATTTTGCATATTTTCACCACCCACGTTTCAAGCGATATACATATTCACTAGAGAAAATACATTTACTATGTGTCTAGACTAAGTACAAGAACATTGGTAAGATTTTTAAATCTCTAAGAAAAGAATAATTTTCTCGCCTTTTTATAGAGTAATACATTTAAAAGTAGTCATGATTTGTGAAAGTAAGATTTACTTTCATTTAATAAAAAACAACTGGGTGCAAAGAAGGTTCTATCTAGCCCAGGACCAACTCACAAAATTTTTATAAAACTCATTTTAGAGTTAAATTGGATTTGAAATTTTTTATTGTTCGTATTTTTATTTGGATTCCAAATTTAGGAAAAGCATTAAAATAACATTAAAAATGCAGAAAACTGACAAACTTCATTCTGCCTAATGAAAATCTTGAACAGGAATGGCAACAGAAACCAGAAACTAGTATATACCCTAGCCAAGGAGGCTTAGTAAGATATGAATTCAAATGTCACTAGATAGCCCTACGGTTTTCCTAATATAAAATGAAGTAACAGACTTTAGAAAGTAAATAAAAGTGTTCACGGAACAAGAGAAGGCTGGATCCTAAGCTCAGAATAACCCATAGCATCTATTGTACAAATTCATCACAATAAATAAATATTAAATTGCATCTTGCATTATCACCTTAATCTTGATATACCACTAGAGTGCTAATGACCTAAGATTTTTAATATGCTATGCAATTATATTTATGGTATGAAAAAACTTACCTCATTAGACTCTTTGATCAAATCTGTAATATCCACTGTAGTATCACTGTTTTTTCCCTCATTCACATTTGAACCCTGCTGAACACTTGAAGGCAATGGGCTATCCTTGTTAATGACACTGTCGAAGAACCTAGCCAAAGGTGATAGCAGTGTAGGAATTAGTACAACTAAAATAACTAGCGTATAGATCATGAAAGCTAATTTATACCTAATAATCCAGAGGTTAAGTTCATTACGGATGACAAGGAAAGTGCTTATGAAGAAGATGGTTGGGAATTAGGAGGCCATGGACAGGAGAATAGAATGGGGACAAAATCATGTTGGGCTGGGCCAGGAGAGCATGAAAAGAAGAAAATAGGTTCAACGTGTCCTCAGCCAATACTATCTAGTCCAACAAGTATGGAATATAAAGTATATATAGGCATGCAAAGGAAAAAAGAAAAGTGAGTAACACTGAGTTCTTTCATGTGTTTGGAATGCCAGAGGTACATGTATAATATTCTCCATGGAATGGAGCGTTACAACAGTTGTCAATTCAAATATTCATTGATTTAACATTTACAAATGTGTGCATATAGACATGAACACTAAAAAAACCCCACATATACTCCCATACAAAACAGCATGCAAACAAAAGCCACTAGGAAAATAGTTTAATCCCCACGACTGAAACTACTGGAAAACCATGATTGTTTCTCCCACTAGATATTTAACATTATCAACTAGCTCTTTCCTCCTCAAATTACTTCTACATAGAAACACGTATAGCTTAAACTAGGACTCTGAAATAAAGAGTGGAGCATAGTGTTGGTTGTTCATGCTTGTAATCCTAACTACTTGGGAGGCTAAGCTAGGGAGATAATAGTTCAAAGCTAGTCTGGGCAAAAAAAGTTCACAAGATACCTTCTTGACTAATAGCTAGACATGGTGACCTCTGTCTATTATCCTGGCTTCATGGGGAGCATAAATAGAAATACTTTGGCAAGCTGGGGAAAAGCATGTTTGGGAAAGAAGTGAGACCCTATCTCAAAAATAACCTATATAAGTTGGCCATTAGTGGCTCAAAGCTGTAATCCAAGCTACTGATGGAACAGAGATGGTCTGGAGGATCACAATTAAAGGCCAACCTGGGCAGAAAAACTTGAGATACTTCACTGCCAAAATAAACAACAGAAAGCAGAATGGAGGTGTGGCTTAAGTATTATTACTCTAGCAGAGCAAACATGAGGCATTAAGCTCAAGCCCCAGTTCTGCTAAAACCAAACAACATAATAAAGGGTTGGAGGCATGTATGGCTGAGAGGTAAACCACTTGTATAGCAAGTGTAAGGGCCTTGAGTTTAAACCCCAATACTGAAAAAGAAAGAAAAATCAGAGCATACTGAATTAATAATATTAGCATAAATGCTTACATAGCCTAACTGCTCACTTCAAAGTGATTTACTTTTTGTTACATGCTTTTTGAAGACAAAAGACAGGATTATAGGTCTGGCTTTATCATTCAACTAGCTCTATGACTCCTGGCAATATTTTTGAAGTTTTTGCCTCTCAATTTCCTCATCAGTAAATTTAAGGGGAATGAAGAACATAATGTCTTAGATCTCCTTCACATTTAAAAGTTATAATTCTTATACTACCTGTTTAAAACTGTTACAGCCTCAGCATCATCTTTACACGTCAGAAGTTTGTCTAAGTTATAGTCAAGTATTGCCAATCCCAGTTGTAAAATGGCCTTTATTCCATCATAGAAGAAACAGTCGACGACATTCACTGCACTTTCAATAGGCAGCACACTAATGAAAAGTGTGAGGAACCAGGACAGAGAAACGGAGGAAAAAAATGTCATGTCGGTCATGTGCTCTGTTAGCTGAGGAAGGTGATCCCTGATAAGTTCTTCAAACACTGCCTGATCCACCAAGGCACCTGAAGAATACCAAGACAAGTTTAAAAACGAACTTCTTCTAAAGTATTTGTTCCCCATCTCTCTCGCTTTACATTAGCTTGCTGATATGTCTTTTTCCCTTATATATTGAATCCCTTTTGTGCCTTTTCTGCACTTTATACATGTGTCATGAACACCAAAACACTTGAGAAATACCATTTAAAGTCATTTGAAGCTGGGTGTCAGTGGCTCACACCTGTAATCCTAGATACTCAAGAGGCTAAGATCTGAGAATAATGGTTCAAAGCCATCTCAGGTAGGAAAGTCTGTGACACTATCTCCAGTAAACTATTATGAAAAAGCTGGAAGTGGTGCTGTGGCTGAAGTGGTTCTACCTCCAAAGAAGTTCAGGGACAATGCCCAGACTCGGAGTTCAAGCCTCAGGACTGGCAAAAAAAAAAAAAAAAAAGTAATTTGAAGATCTGAATCCTTATTAGGCAGAGACAATGTACTATATTATTAATGAACTGGCTTCATCTTTGTGATGCTGGAGATGTACATGTTCAGCCCGTGATCTACCACTAAACTACATCCCCAGCTCTTAAAGAGTTTAGTGTTTGTGCATTTCTCAATTTACTGATTCTTCTATTTGGTAATTCAAGTGACAACAAGCTAGGCATTGTGCCACAGACCTGCAGTGTAATCCTAGCATTTAAGATGTGAAGGTAGAAAAATGTCAAGACCAGACTGGGCTACATAGCTAGACCTTGTCTCAAAAATATAAAAAATCAGATGTTTAGAAAAATGTCATGTGGGGAAGTGGTGCTGTGGCTAAAGTAGCAGAGCACTAGCCTTGAGCTGAAGAGCTGAGGTAGAGCGCCCAGGCCCAGAGTTCAAAAAAAAAAAAGAAAAATGTCATTTGGGTTTGAATGGGTAGCCCATATTTCATGTGTATGAAACTTAACTCCCAAATGTATGTACTCATTGTATTTAGAAGTAGAAATTTCGAGAGGTTACTGGATTATAATGGATCTGCTCCAAAGAATGGATTAATGCACTCATGATTAATGCCCCAGTGCTAGCTGCTTACCCTTGTAATCATAAAGCCAGCTGAGCCTGGAAGGTCTACAAGACTCCATTTTTTGTATGTGTGCTATTCCAGGGCTTGAACTCTGGGCACTGTCCCTGAGGGCTTTTAAATTTTTTTTTTTCAAGTCTGGTGCTTTACCACTTGAGCCACAGCTCTACTTCTGGCTTTCATGGTTAATTGGACATAGAATCTCACAGATTTTCCTACCTGGGCTGGCTTTAAAGCACCATCCTCAGATATCAACCTCCTGAGTAGCTGGGTTAAAGGTGAGCTACTGGCACCTGGTTTGAGATTCTATTTTTAACCAGCAGAAAATCCAGACTGGAGATGTTGCACAAGTGGTAGAATATGAGCTGTGAACAAGAAAGCTGACCAAGAGTACAAGGCTCAGAACTCAAGTCCCAGAATTGGTACAACAAAGACAATAGATTATAGGTCATCAAGGGAGTGACATATTAAAAGTAATCTCTCCGTGGCATACTTCTTTTGTCTGCCTTTGTCATATCCTCTACAATGCTATTATGATACAGCAAGAAGACCTTGGCTAGATGCCAAGCAGATTCTGGATACTTTTGGACTTCTCAGGCTCTGGAACTATGAGTAAAATAAGACTTTAATTTTTGTGCCAGTACTGAGTCTTGAACTCTGGGCCTTGTGATCTTGCTTGGCTTGTTTGTAACCGGTACTTTATCACTTGGGCCATACCTTCACTTCCAGCTTTTTTTTTTTTTTTTTTGGGGGGGGGGGTCCGGTCGTGGGGCCTGAACTCTGGGCCTGGGCACTGTCCCTCAGCTCTTCAGCTCAAGGCTAGCGCTCTACCACTTGAGCCATAGTGCCACTTCCGGCTTTTTTTTTTTTTTTTTGCTTATGTGGTGCTGGGGAATCGAACCCAGGGCCTCAGGCATGCAAGGCAAGCGCTCTACCACTGAGCCACCTTCCCAGCCCCCACTTCCAGCTTTTTGATGGTTAATTAGAAATAAAGAGCCTCAAAGAATTCTCTGCCAGGGCTGGCTCTAAACTACGATTCTCAGATCTCAGCCTCTTGGTTAGTTATGATTATAGGCATGAGCCTATAATCTCTTAAAGCAACAGATAACAAAGACTGTAGAAATATATGTGTGTGGTTTGTTTTACCAATGATTCGACGATTAAAGTAATCAGGCAACATTCGTTCACATACAGCAACCAAAAGCCAAAAAGCTTCTTCTTCTTTTGCGTATAGAAGCAACACTGAAGTCAAAATGTTCATTGCCTAAATTTCATAGAAAAGATACAAAAAAGTAAATATTGCTCACTAACCACTTCATCCCTTTTCAAGCATAGGAGTTTTCAACAGTAAGAGAACAAGTACCATAAGAACAATAAACTCAGAGCAAAATGACATGAAATCAGGCTATTCTTTTCTAATCAGTTATTCTGTACAGTTATATTCAAGAAAACGAAGCAGTACAATATCATAGATATGCAATATACCATCTAAAACCTAATATGGCTAATTTTAGTTGGTAAAAATATACCAATTATCACAAAGCTAAAAACACACATAAATTTGAAGGCAATACTAAAACTGGATGAAACTATCTCTATTTGTAATTCCCTACTGAAGAATATCCCTTAGATGTCAATCATCTTTCATTATATCTAAAACTAAGAATCTTTCTCCTATCAGGTAGGATTCACTTTTTAGTTATCCTAATTTTGTGCATGATAGAAACTCTGCATCTGTTACATCTTTTTAAAAAAAATCATATCCAGAGTTCTCCTTATAAAATGTTTTTGGATCTGTTCTTTCTTCCTATTTCCATTGCCACTATACTTTGTGCTTCTATCTGGTGGTTCCCTGGAAGAATGAACTCACAAGGATATCTTTTATTTGATCTGACACAGAGCTCATTTAGGACAAAAAGCTATTCCCCAACAAGTGTTTATTGAAAATAATCAGAGGCAGCTGCTGACATGTGTAGGTGGGCTGACATAGAGGGAACAGTTGGGCTAAACAACAGGCTAACAAATGGCTAAATGAAAATCTAAGACATTAAGTAAATTCTGACATATTCCTGGGAACTTAGGAGGCCATATACATGCATATAGCCTTGTGAGTATTCATAGCTATAGGAAAGAACAGAAAAGTACTAAGCTCTCACCTCTGCCTCATCTTGAGGCTCTGAGAGTAGAAAGTGATAAAAAAAAATGAAAAAAGTAGAGTTATCAACAGTTAGGATCACTGAGAATAGGTTTTAAAAAGATAAAAGAATACTATATTGAAAATGAACTATACAACTTGTGGATGGGCATGGGAAGGAAAAGCTGGGAAAGAGGGAGAGAAGGGGGTGACATTGTCCAAAAAGAAATGTACTCTTTACCTGACAATGTAACTGTAAATCCTCTGTACATCATCTTTACAATAACAATAAAAATTTTTTAAAAGATAAATCATTGAATATAGTTGGGTAAGCTTACCACAAAGATTTTGAAAAAAAACAGAGGGTACTGAAAGTATTTCAATATGTAAAAAGAAAATATACTATTATCCTAATAAAAATAGAAAGAAGTTTATGGGATTATGATTATGCTATCAAATTAATAACCCTACAAACTACTGATACTAGCTCCAGAAGAAAAAAATCAGAATTTATCTACAATAAGGAGATTATATTAGTAATGAAAATACTTCCCACAAGGAAAACTTTCTGAACAGATGGCTTTACTGTTTTCTGCAAAACATTTAAAGAATTAGCACCAGTCTTTCATAAACTCTTCAGATAATAAGAGTAGGAAATGCTATCCAACTCATTCTAAGATATCTTGATAACAGAATTAGACAACACAAGACAACTACATATTAATATATGTTATGAATGTAACTGTAAAAACTTCAACAAAACATTAGAAACTCAAATCTAGTAGCATATGAACAAAGATTATATATGCACAAAGACCAGGTGAGATTTGCTCTGGGAATGCAAGGTGGTTCAATATATGAAAATCAATCAATGACAAATGCTATTTTAATAAAACAAAAAAAAAATCACATGATCATCTTAATGAACACAGAAGCAATTTCATAAAATCTAGTATTTTTCCATGATACAAAACTCTGTAAACTAGGAATGTAAAAAAAAAAAACAAACTTCCTCAAGCTGATAATCTTAAAAAAAAAAACTTCACAGCTAACATTATGTCCTATTGATTGCTTTCTTCAAAGACAAATACCAAGACAGTGATATGCATTCTCAATAATCCTGTTGAGCTAAGACTTTAGCTATTTGGGAGGCTAGAGTGAGAGGTTCATTTGAATCCATGACTTCAAGATCAGTCTGAGAAATACATTAAGACTTGGTCTAAAAAACAAACAAAAATCCCCAACAACAACATCACCACTTCAATTTAACAATGTATTGAAGATTCTAGCCAGATTAATTAGGTGCAAATAAATATGTCCAAATAGGATGGAAGTATCACTACTCAAATTTGGTATGTAGAAATTCCTAAGGAATTCACATAATATCTTCTTCATCAGAACTAATAAATCAGCTTTATAAAGTTAAAGAGACATAAGATCAAAATATAAAAAAATGAATAGTAAGAGCAGGGCGCTGGTGGCTCATGGCTGTAATCCTAGCTACTCAGGAGGCTGAGATCTGAGGATCGCGGTTCAAAGCCTGCCCGGACAGGAAAAAATCTGTGAGACTCTCATCTCCAATAAACCATGAGAAAACCGGAAGTGGCCCTGTGGCTCAAGCAGTAGAGCACTCGCCTTGAACTGAAGAACGCAGGGAAAGCTCCCAGGCCCAGAGTTCAAGCCCCATGACCAAAAAAAAAAAGAATAGTATTTCTACATACTGGCAGCAAATAATCAAAAAATGAAAATGAGAAAACCCATTTGCTGTAGTATCCCAAAAATTAAAAACTTAGAAAGAAAATTAAAGAACTATGAGATTTGGAACACTGAAAACTACCAATTTTTTTTTTTACTTTTTTGCTTGTCATGGGGCCTGAACTCTGGGCCTGGGCACTGTCCCTCAGCTCTTCAGCTCAAGGCTAGCACTCTACCACTTGAGCCACGGTGCCACTTCCAGCTTTTTCTGTCTATGTGGTGCTGAGGAATTGAACCCAGGGTCTCATGCATGCGAGGCAAGCACTCTACCACTGAGCCACCTTCCCAGCCCTATCAAGTATCTTTGAAGAAAGAAATTTTAAAGAGCTGAATTAATAGAAAGACATAGTATATTCACAAGACTTAAATCTATAATACTCTCCAAACTGACCAACAGATTTAATACAACTACCAAAATCTAAGCTGGCTATTTTTAAAAAAAGAAATTGGCAAGCTGATCCTAAAATTCATAGAATACAAGGGATCTAAAAGCCAAAAAAAGAAAAATGTAGTTAAAAAAAGAAAAATGTACTTACAAAAAAGAAAATGTACTTAAAAGGATCTACACTTTCCAACTTTAGAACTTGGTTACTGCATCTGTGTGGTAATCAAGACAGTATGGCTCTGTTCAATAGAACAGAAGGGAAATTATAGAAATAAATACTATGGCTGACTGATTTCAGCAAGGGTACTAAAGGTCCACTTTGTTCTCATTGAGATGGCTGTAATCCAAAAGAGATGAAAGTCCATGAGACTCATCTCCAATAAACTACTAAAAAGTGCCAGAAGTGGACCTATGGCTCAAGTGGTAAAGCCCTAACTAGCTCTGAGCAAAAAGCTTTAGGGATAGCATCCAGGTCCTAAATTCAAGCCCCAGGACTAGAGAGACAGAATCAAAGATAGAGGAGAGACAGAGAGAGAGATGTAAAAAAATGTAAACTTTATACTGCTAGTAGGAACATGAAGTAGGGAAAGTTGAGCAGTATATACACCCAAAATGAAAAACAAGGCCCATACAAACGCCTGTACACAAATATTCATAAATACATTGTTCTTTGCAATCAAAACAGACAAAATTAATCAAAATTCTATCAACTGTTCAATAGAAAAACAAAATGTGGTATAACTATATAATGAAATATTATTCAGTTGTAAAAATGAACAAACTATGGATACATATTCCATAGCATGGATGCAATCATTTTTTTTTTGCCAGTCCTGGGGCTTGAACTCAGGGCCTGCGCTCTCTCCCTGAAGAAACACTCTACCCTTTGAGCCACAGCATCACTTCCAGTCTTTTATGTTTCTATGGTACTGAGGAATTGAACCCAGAGCTTCATGCATTGTAGGCAAGTACCGTACCACTAAGCCACATTCCCAACACATGGAGAAATCTTCTTGAAAACAATATGCCAAGAGAAAGAAGGCAGGTACAAAAGACTACATATTCTATCATTCCATTTAGTAAGATGTCAATAAATAGCCACAGTTAAAAAGACCAGTGATTGGGTAGGGGAGAGGGCGAAATGAGAAGTAGAATATTAATGACTGTATGTCTTCTTTTTTTGAGGGTGAAGAAAATGTTCTGGAAGTAGACAGTAGTGATGGTTACAAAACTTTATGATTATACCAAAAACCAGTAACAGGGTCAGACATGATGTTGCATGCCTGTAAACTCAGCACTGCTGTAATGTCAGCACAGGAGAGCCAGAGGCCTGAGGATTCCAAGTTCAATTTCGTCCTGGGCTATATAGTCCCAGGTTAGTCTGGGCTACATTGTGAAATCCTGTCTCAATGAGGCATGAAATGGTAAAGTTTGTGATATTTGATGTATCTCTACATAGGTAAGGGGGAGATAGAGGAGGGAGAGATTAGGGAGAGAATAGGGAGGAGAGGGCAGAGAAGAGGGAAAAACGGGGAGAGAAGGAGAGAAGGGGAGAAAGGAGAGGGAGAAAAGAGAAAGAGAGGAGGAGAATGGGAAAGAAGGGGAGAAGGAAAGAGAGGAGAGGGAGAGAGAGGAGGAGAAAAGAGGGAGAGGGAAAGGCCAAGTCAGTTAGCCAGCCATCCAGCCATAATATATCTAGTATGATTCAATGAATTTTTGATTAAGAACAGTAAAATCTGCTTGCCATATTAAATTCTCAGGCTTTAAAGGTTCTCTGTGATCTTGTGGCACTAAAAGTAATATTTACTTCTTGATCAGAACATAAGTTTGATGTTCAAGGCACTTATTCCACCTGAATGGTATTGTCACTTTAACCTAGAATAACTTTCTTCCTGCTCTCCATGTCTCTAAATTTGCTCTCATCTTCTAGAAGCCAAAGCCATGTACTGCCTATTTTAAAACTATGTCTTAGGTATTGCATAAAGATAGATTGCATATAGATAGATAGCTCTGAGAGTGCAAGTTGTTTGAGAAATTATGTATATATCTTTGTTACCTTTCAGAGATTCTAAAATATGCTAAAATACTTGATGTTTAGATGCTTTATTCACTTAAACAGTTTGACAGAAAAAATTCTGTTAGGTTTTCAATGGTTACAGCTACTATCCATTATTGATATGTAATTACTACAGGTGCGTAACCTAGTAGAAATCCATGTATACTGGTAAGTGCTTGCAATCCACCATTATCCAGCCTTTCCTTCCAGAGTAGCCCACTGTATTTCAGATTTCCTTGTGGATAGTTGTGCTCATGTGATGGATGGAGTCCTTGCCACAATGCAGGCGAAGTGATATGCAACCTATTCCAGGTATGGCCTGGAAAATGTACCACAATTGTTTTCCATTCTCTTTTTCCCTTCTGAGCACAGTAATGTTAAAGTAAAAGAGTAGCTTGGAAAATGTGTTTAGAAGATGGCAGTCAACTTTTAGCCTAATGCTTCAGTCTGAAAAATCTGGAAGAACACTGTCTACCAACACAATGGCTCACTTTGGTCTATTCCTTTAAGAAATAATCTTCTAGTAAACTGTGCACGGGTGGCTTATGCCTGTAATCCTAGATACTCAGGAGGCTGAGATCAGAAGACTGTTGTTCAAAGCCTGCCTGGGCAGGAAAGTCTGTGAGACTTTTATCTCCAATTAGTCACCAGAAAACTAGAAGTAGCACTGTGGCTCGAAGTGGTAGAACACTAGCCTTGAGCAAAACAGTTCAGAGACAGCAACCAGGTCTTGAGTTCAAGCCCCACAGCCACACACAAGAAAAAGAACTAATCTTCTCTTGTGTATCAGTTACATGTTTGTGCCTGTATCACCCATTTAGCCTCATTAATACTGTGTACTCCTAACGGATTTGTCCCCAATGGTTCCTCTACTTCCTACAGAAAAAAAATTCCAATTCCTGACCTACAATAATATACCTCATTTTCTTCCAAACACTTAGCTCCATTCACCCTACACCCTAAACAGAACATGGTCCTCTTCACATTCCTCCTTTAAGTCTATCTGTGTTGAACTGCACTACTTCTTTCACCTAGGATGTTCAATCTTTCTACTATCTATGCATTCAAAATTTAAATTTCACAATCTGCAAGTGCTATCTGTTCATGAAGCCTTTTGTGTGATTCTTTTAGATATAAATAATTTATTATTAGAGATAGTTCTTCACAGTATTTTACATTAATCATCCTAACATTTTCTTTCACCTGTTTTTTAGTTCCACAATGGAACTGGTTTATATATTAATACCTACTAATCTATATATCTTAATAGCAAGATCTTTCTCATCTATCTTTGTATAACTGTAAATATGTGTGGCACAGTATCTTTCACAGGACTGGAATTTAAATAAATATTTGTGAAATGAAAAAGAAAAAAGAAATTAATAAAACATTCATTCTAAGTATTCCCACCATCATCCTACTTATATTATTAATACTATCAATCTCAGCTCAACTTCTTTCCTTAGAATCATAATTCCCAAATTAGTAGGCTTGGGTTTGTAGTGATGCTATCATGCACAGAGCTGGGCTAACAGCAAAGTCATACCTGGCAGTATCCTATTTGGGGATTCCTATATGCATAAGCAGTGAGTACCCGCCTCAGAGCAGATATACCAGTATCACTCTGAAATGCTGGGTGTTCAGGCAGGGAGCGACGCAAATCACGCTCAATTTCCTCAGTAGCCAAGTTGGAGGTTCCGAGAGACTGTTCAACTACTTCAGAATAATAGCCAGGATTCGCAGCCATGTCATTACAAGCACCTGCAAAGATGATTGCATTCACATAGAAAAGAAGAACAAAGCTAAGATTTTCATACAGTGGCATATTTGTATGTACATTAAGAATTAGATTATATTACCTTGAAATTTAATGATTCTGAGCACAAAGAAGAAAATGAAGGAAAATAAGAAAGCATTACACTAGAATCTAAAGGGCCAAGTTCAAATTATCAATCAGAAAAATATTTTTAGCTAGGCTGGTGGCTCACATCTGTAATCCTTGCTACTTGGGAGGCTGGGATCACAATCACTGTGGTTCCAGGCCAGCTTTGTGGGAAGATTGAGAAACCTCATTTCAATCAATAAAAAGACCAGAGAAGTGATGTGTACCTGTCATACTTACAATGAAGAAGCATAAATACAAAGATCACGGTAAAAAGGAGGACCTCATCTAGACTTGTTAGACCTATCTAGCAGATCTAAGACCCTGAGTCCACACCACAATACTGACAAAAACACACAACAAAAATACTTTCATGAGTATTTTTTTCCTTTAGTTTTTAGTAGTACTGGAGTTTGAACTCATGACCTTGTGCCTGTTAGGCAGGCAATCTATCACTGGAACCATGACCCAGCCCTTTTTGCTTTATTTTTCTCATAGGGCCAGCCTCCAACTAGGAACCATCTACTTACACCTCTTACATAGCTGGAATCACAGGCAAGCCACCATCACCATTTTACTGGTTGAATGGATGAGGGAAGAGGGTGATCACATATGTAGTTGGAATTACAGACATATGCTACCACACTCAGCTCCTTTAATTTATCTTTGAAAATAGATTCCCCATCCTTCTAGATAAATTCTCCCTCCTTCTAGATAAATCTTGCCTAATAAGCTAATCTCAGTCATTAGATGATGGATTTACAGTAAAGTATACATTATTTTTCTTCTTTGACTAGTCTTAACTCACATCCTAGCCATCTTTGTCATTCTTTAACTTTCTGTACTAACTCCTAGAAGGAGAATAATTACTGTCTATTAAATAACTGACTAGGTACCTGAAAAAAGCATCCAGAGCTCTCCTCTTAAGGTTTCTGGAATCCCTCTTACAACCAGATCTCTAGTCTTTCTGGTTCGAAACATGCTAATACCACGTCCACATTCAGAAAATAAGATGTTCCACAACTGTTCCTTCATCTTTTCTTTCAACTGTAATAGAAATATCAAGGCAATTAAACACAATGAGAAATGGCTTTTTCAAAATAACTTACCTCTATTCATCATGAAATGGAGTCAAACTCCATTTCCTCCTAGGAGCCAAACAAAAATTTTAAGCATATACAAACCTAACATCTTTCATTTACTATTTTAGTTTCTCTAGATATTTATTCTATTTCCAGTAACAAAACCTAGCATGTCCTCTGTTTTAATGTAAAGCATCTGACACTCTGCAATACACCATTAACTATTTTAATTCTTTATTTCTTTAAAAACTTTCTATTTTGGTTGTAGGGCTTGAACTCAGGGCCTGAGTGCTGTCCCTGAGTCTCTCAGTGCTCAAGGCTAGTGCTCTACCACTTGAGCCACAGAAACACTTCCAGTTTTTGAGTGGTTAATTAGAGATAAGAGTCTCATGGGAACTTTCCTGCCCAGGCTGGCTTGGAATTGCGATCCTCAGATCTTAGCCTCCAGAGTGGCTAGGATTACAGGTGTGAGCCACTGGCACCCAGCTGTTTTAATTCTTAAACTCACAAAAATGGCAAAAAAAAATCACATCACAGTTAGGAGGTAAAGCTTTGAATTAACCTTGATTGTTCCCAAATCAATGCTACTTGAGTTTATATTATTAGATATCTATGGAAATAAATCCCAGAATCTCCCTTTTATCTTCTTTCTTAAGATTCCTTGTATGTTACGGATTGAAAAAAGGTATATATACATTAGTATTTGTCGGAAAACCTTTTCAAATCAACAGAAAGGTCTTGTATATTATAATTATTTGCGTCCACAGATTGAAATAAATTGGTTGCCTACCACTTTAGAATTAAGTGTCTCCAAATTCTGAGGGTGAAATACTGTCATTAAGGCTTCAGTGCTCACAGTCTTACTGCATTCTTTTTGACTTGCCAAAGACTGCGTTTCAGAGACATCAGAAGGGGTTGCAGAGTCAGAACTAATAGCCACCTGAAAAAAGAAAATCAAAATGTAATTGTCCCAAATGTATGCTTCAAAGATTGTATAGTATCAAATGCCAGTGGCTCAGGTCTGTAATTCTACCTACTCGGGAGGCTGAGATCTGAGGATCGTGGTTTGAGGCCACAGGGCAGAAAACAACCCTGTGAGACTCATCTCCAATTAACCACTCAAAAAAACAACCAACAGGCTGGGAAGGTGGCTCAGTGGTAGAGCACTTGCCTTGCATGCTCAACGCCCTGGGTTCGATTCCTCAAGCACCACATAAGGAAAAAAAAGCCGGAAGTGGCGCTGTGGCTCAAGTGGTAGAGTGCTAGCCTTAAGCTGAAGAGCTGAGGGACAGTGCCCAGGCCCAGAGTTCAGGCCCCACGACCGGACCCCCCCCCCCCAAAAAAAACCCCCCAAAAAAACAACCAACAAAAACCCATAAGTGGCACTACAGCTCAAAGTAGTAGAATGCTAGTCTTGAGGTAGAGAGCTCAGGGATAGCACCCAAGCCCTGAGTTCAAGCCTCATGTCCAACAAAAAAAAGTGTGTAAGAATATAATATTGCTCATGTGTTACCTGTCATTTAAAAATCATAATCTATATACATTTTAGTCATAAGGCAATGTCCTGGGAGATATCAAGAGACTAAACTCTGGAACAGCAAACTCTGAAACCTTGTGAGTCCACACTCCCCTCCCCCCCAAAAACAACAAAATACTGGTACACACATCATTTCAGAATTAACCACAGGCACAAAATGGATTGAATAACACCTAGTCAAAAGCAAAAAAAAAACCAAAACAAAAAAACCCACCCAAAACCTAGTAAGGGTTGAAAATGTAGCTCAGTATTACAATGTGCTTGCCTAGCATTCATGAAACACTGAAAGAAAGAAAAACTAACGAACCTCTAAAAGCATCACAGTGCCAGTGGATTTTACCTTTAGGCTATGCCTATTCATCTAAACTCAAAAGTAAGGCAGCCATGAAAACTCATACTATGAAAGTCAGCAGATCTTTTGGTGTTTCATTTAAAACTTTGGCCCCATAGAACAGTTGGAAGTTTCTGGAAAAGCTCCACTTCTAAGGTATGATCATTTGATGTGATTCACAGCTCGGCTCAATGAAAAAGCCTCTAGGATAGAAGGTGGCAACCAAGGATCTTGCTTTGTAAATAAAATTGTATTGAAACATAGCTATGCCTTTCAGTTATTTTGTCAGTAGCTGCTTTGGCAGTAAAATGGCAAAGTTGATTAAAGACTGTATCGTCTGGAAAACTTAAAATCTATGCCCTCTGACATTTATAGAAAACCCTATTCTAGTGTTTATAGGTCTGTGAAGCAACAGGGTCTAGTACCTTTGTACTTAAATCATAATCATCTGTATTCTTTGAATGAATGTATAATGGCTGCTTTATATTCCATTTATGAACTCCAACAAGTGGTCAAACTCAGGGATATTTTTCTATTGGTTGCTTTTAAAATTATTTTATTTATTTTTGGTGCTAGTACTGGGACTTGGATTTAGGGCCTAGACATGTTCTCTTAGCTTTTTTGCTCATGGGTAGTGCTTTACCACTTGAACCATGACTCCATTTCTGGCTTTTTAATAATTGGAGGTAGGAGTCTTGTGGACTTTTCTGCCTGGGTTGGCTTCAACCGGTGATCCTCAGATCTGACTCCTGAGTAGTTTAGGATTACAGGCATGAGGCCACCCATTCAGGTGGGTGATTTTTTTTAAAGTTTTTATTCATTTTCTAAAATTTAATTTTATTGTCAAGGTGATGTAGAGGAGGTTACAGTTACATACATAAGGAAAAATGAGGGCAGGGGTAACAAGTTCAACAATAAATGTACTCACTACCTAAGTTTGTTTGGGTCATGGGGCTTGAACACCGGAACTGGGCACTGTCCTCAGTTCTTCAGCTCAAGGTGAGCACTCTACCACTTGAGCCATAGTGTCACTTCTGGTTTTCTGGTAGTTAATTGGAGATGAGTCTCACGGACTTTTCTGTCCCGGCTGGCTTTGAATAGTGACCCTCAGATCTCAGCCTCCTGAGTAGCTAGGATTATAGTCGTGAGCCACCTGCACCTGGCTTGTTATTTTTAAGCCTCTTTCCAAGGTTATACTGACCTTTTGAGTCAGTATAATTTAGTAATCCTCCAATTATGGGTCAGATTTCCTTAAATGAGTTAAACATTTAAGTCTTAAATCTCTTTTCCAAGGGAATCTTTGTGTGAAGTTCTAAGTCAAACGAAGCAGTTTAGAAATTAGGCTTAACTTTAGATTTTTTTTTGTCAGTTGTGGGGCTTGAACTCTGGGTCTGGGCGCTGTCCCTCAGTTCTTCAGTTCAAGGATAGCATTCTACCACTTAAGCCACAGTGCCATTAGGCATAACTTTAATATCCTCTTTCAAAATCAGCTAGAGTTGAGTATCTGGGTCCTCCTTCTTCCCTGTTTCTTTCCTTGGTCTACTCAAGTTTCTGCACAAGTCTGTATACATGTAGAGACTATGTCAGGACCTTTCAAATTCCTGAGTACGAAGGATTATAGTTGTAAGTCACCAGTGCCCAGCAGCTTTTTAGGCCCTTTAAAGACACAAACTGCTTTAATAATATTCATGTATTTATAACATAAAGCCAAATGTTTTTTAATATACTCAAAGTTGGGCAATTATCATCATAATCCATGTTTTGTACACTGTTATCACCCCCAAAAGAAATTCTATATTCTTTGTAGTCATTCACTATCACCTTCCTCTCTCTCCTCAAGGTTCTAGATAGCCAGCAATCTGTTACTATAAATATGCTTATTCCGTTTCATCTAATTGGAACCATTTTATATGTGGTACTTTGCATACGACTTCCTTCTAAGCATGTTTTCAAGGTTCATTCATGACATAGTGCCTACCAGGACTTTCTGTCCTTCAATGCTTCTGTACCATTTTACATTCCCAATAGCAACATAGAAGGGCTTCATTTTCTTCACATCTTTCTCAATAATTGTTAACTATCCATCTTTTAAATAATAGCTTTCCTAAGTGATTATGAAGTTGTATTTAATTGTGGGGTTTATTTTGATGGTAGTGGGAATTACACTCAGGGCCTCATGCTTGCTAGGCAGGCACGCTATCACTTGAGTCATACCCCACCCCTTCTGGCTTTGGTTACTTTTCTGGTAAGAGTTTTGTGTTTTGTGCCTGGGCCATCCTGGATTGCTATATCCTTACTTATATCATGGTTGTTGTAGTATGGGTACCATTCAAGGTATATTGTTTTAGTTTAAACTTTATGACTGAGGACCAGTTTATTTACTGGTAACCTATCAAAACTACAGAAAAAATATTAAAAGGTGAGAAAATATAACCTCTTAGCAGGGCACTGGTGGCTCACTCCTGTAATCCTAGATACTCAGGAGGCTGAGATCTGAGGATTGTTGTTCAAAGCCACCCAAGGCAGGAAAGTCTGTGAGACTCTTACGTCCAACTAAACTACTAAAAAAGCTGACATGGAGCTGTTGCTCAAGTAGTAGAGCACTAGCCTTGAAGAAAAGTAACTCAGGGACAGTACTTAGGCCCTGAGTTGAAGCCCTAGGAATGTTGTGTACACACACACACACACACACACACACACACACACACACACACACGAAAATATAACCTCTTAAGCAACAAAACCCTAAGCACAAGTTTATGAGTACAAGTACTTTAGTCTTCATCATGATTACCTCTTAAGTATTCATAAAATCACATTAACATTGATTTTCAAAGTCAGTGGCTTAAAGCAATTTAGATTCTGAATTGTTTAAAGAGCATAATAAAATAGATTATTCAAGGAACAAAACTTTACGTTTTGGAACACGGATTCTGACCTCTTGACCACATCAATTCTGTGAAGTCATTTATATGGGTGCTTACAATTATGACTGGAAAAAACAGTGCTTGTGTCAAATCTAATCATGTGGAGAAAGCAACATAGGCTGCCTATAGCAAACATTCTTTTTGTAAGCAAATATTCTTTTGTTTTTTGATACCTGGCATAAAGTTTAGAAGTAGCATATAGCTTAAACAGTGAAGGAAAATGGGGCAAAGATTAATATCTCCTCATGTGTGCCCATTCTATAAAGTAATAGATTTCAATTTGAATGTCTCACCAATTCAGCATAATACACAGTGACTGTCTATAAAACTCATAATGAAGAGAAAAATACACAGAAAATCTTCTCAAATATAAAAATTATTATCAATACTTTTCTACTTACAGTTCATAATTTAAAATAAAGTATAATTTTCTAAAAAAAGGATTTGTTTTCCTAAGTTAGAAATCAATCTATTACCCCACAGCTAAACTATTTGTAATTTACACTATAAACATAGAAAACTCACTACCCTTGTTTTTAGTAAACAAAACTCAGTAATGCAAGATTAAGCTAATATTCCGGTCTGCATGATGTATAGCCTTTTTTGTGGTACTTGAGCTTGCTAAGCAGGTGATCTACCACGTGAGTCGTGCTCCCAGCCCTGCACTTTGTAGAATAAGGAACTCACTACTTTTTTTTTTGGGGGGGGGGGGGGGTCCGGCCTGGGCGCTGTCCCTCAGCTTTTCAGCTCAAGGCTAGCGCTCTACCACTTGAGCCACAGCGCCACTTCCGGCTTTTTTCTTTTTGCTTATGTGGTGCTGAGGAATTGAACCCAGGGCCTCAGGCATGCAAGGCAAGCGCTCTACCACTGAGCCACCTTCCCAGCCCCTCACTACTTTTTTTAAGTTTAGAAATCCTCACTGGATTTTACTTGTGTTCACATCAAACTTAAGGGTTATTTTAGCTATATAACAGAAAGAAGAATAAAAGATGAAGCTGGAGCAAGAAAATCTCTTGGTGGCCAATATAAAGTTTTAAATTATCTGCCTTCACTGAGGTTCATCAAAGAGAGAGCTAGTCTTATCAATGCTCCAGTAAAACCAAATTCGATTATTTTTAGTCGCTGTAAGGAATGATAATGTACTCTGTACAATTCAAATAAAATAATGTAACCAGCAAAGCCAATATTGGCTTTTCTTGGAATCTTCCATATACACAGTTCTCATTTAAAAGCTTTATCAATCTATTAAAACATGACCTCCTGGACACTGAAAAAAAATATTTGAATTCAGTCTGCCTTGAGTTTCATGAACAATGTACTAAAAATGAGAATTGAGTTCTTAACCATTCTTTGCCAGGAATAGTCTCCTTCAATATTTTGCTAGTAAATTGGTATGCCATTATTTGTCAGATAATGTAAGACTGACTTAGCTAGATATTAAGTAAATGATACTCAGTTTAGTTTACAATTGCTACTTTTCTGCAGTAAGGTCTTGTTGAATTCTCAAGCACAACTGAAGTTGTTAAAAGCCAAGTTATGTGAATGTTCAAGGAATGTATAATATAAAAACACCAACAGTAGAAAAATCAAATTGTAATTCTTAAAATGTAAGTTCCTAAAAAGGATAATAAAGTTCTTAATTCTTACTTCTGCTGTATGATGGGACCTAGACAATGTATATCTTCAGGGTTAGCCTTTTTATGGTGGTACTGGGGTTTGAACTCAGGACATCTCATTTGTTCAGCTGATACTCTATCCCTTAAATCCTATCTCTAGCCCTGCTTTTTGGTGTTATTTTAGAGATGAGTCTAATGTACTTTTCTGCCTAGGCTGGCCTCAAACCATGATCCTGTGAAACTTAATCTCCTGAGTAGCGAGGATCATAGACATGAGCAACCAGCGCCCCACATTCTTTAAAAAGTGTAATCTTCAAAAAAAATAGTTATGAAAAGGAAAATATACATATGAATTCCTTTTGAAATCATACTAAGTACAAAGTTTTCAAGAAGTGGTTGATTGCAATATAATTACCTCAGTATTGATATTACGTCGAGTTGAAGAAGTTCCACACTTGAGCCTGAGTTTTGTCACCAGGTGCTCATATTCTTTAACTTCATTGAAGCGAAATGCTCTTTTTCCTTTGATACTAATGATGACAGATTTGGTGGACTCATCTGTCTTATCTATAGCTAATACCTGGGGAGGAGTAAAAATATATAAGTGAAGCACATTTTCTCTTATTGCTGACATTTTGAGTGCAATATGTTTGACCTCTTTTGTGGCTGAAGGTTTTGATCTGTCACATGAATTATAAAGAAATAGATTTGGGTACTAGTTGTACTTATGACACCAGTTAACTATAGTTAAAATGATTTCAATCTTCAAGGATAAGATTTAACATGTGCCCTTCAAAACTGCCAATACAAATGCAAAATATTCAGTGTTGAGTACTGATAATTTATGTCTCATTTACATAAAAGCTATCAATTCCTTTCTTTTTGATCAAGAATATAAAATGTGATCATTTACATTTTTGTATTCATGTGCTAAATAACTGAATGAGGTAGCTCATTTTACTTCATTCTAAACCTTTATCTGGTTTGAAAAGCTTTTCCTTTTTCTGTTTTTCACTTTTAGTAAGGACCACAAAGGTCTACTAAAAGGAAATATCAGTATTTTAAAAAGCCAGTTCTTTTATCTGGAAGATACTGCATATTAAGCTTTTATTAATTTACAGAATTAAATGATTTTAAAAACTAAAAAGGATATGCAACCAAATTTATATTACCTCTCGTAATGGAATGATTACACTACAAAGATTGCCATCCTGGCTAGTAAAGCAGATATAGTTTTGTGAAATGCACATTTTCCCTTGAGTATTGAGGTGGGTGAACGGAACCCATAAGAAACATTCATGTATCTCTTTCAAAGTCTCTTCTTTGGGCAGCCTAAAGAGGGCATTGAATTGCTCACTGTGAGCTCGATTTTCCAAGCCTCTGTAGGAAAGAAAAAAAGGGGAGGAATGGGCTCAGCTGATGAATTCTAAAGTATACACATGACTATACTGAATAATCTAAATGTAAGCAGATTAGACATGAAATGCTATGTTCTTCACTGAATTTTCAAATGGAAAAAAAAAACATACTCCAAATAAACTCAGTTTGTTACTTTTCTAATTTCATTTTACTACTAGATTAAAATATACAAGACTGAGAATTATAAAGGGATGATTTACTTGAAGACTACTATTATATGTGACTATGGCCAAAACCAATTTTCAAACACAATAATTTACATCTGGTTGTGAGAAAATTTATAGTTATCCAGTTCAAAGTAAAAATAATGAAGACGTATGCCATTAAAATTTAAGGAGGAAGGGCAGTCTTTAGAACATTAAAATTAATTTAGATAAAAATCTAAATGAATATTTAAAAACCTCCAAAGTAGAAGCACAATAAAACAGTATCATTTTCAAAATACTAGGCACAGGATAGAAGTTAATCAGAAGTTAACAAGGAAGCTTGTTAATTACCACATAAATACAGAAATATATTAACAGCACAATTTTTATGGGCTTTAAACACTGTGCTAAGCAACAAAGTTCTAACTCAAATCCAACTAAGTTAAGACTAAATTCATCCTCCTAGCAGGCAGTGTTTGAATATGTGATACTTTATCTTGACTTTTAAACTAATAAATATGACAAGTAAATTACGTTTTTAACCTCACTTAAGTTGCAGTTGGGTGGGTTATTCCACTAATATTTAAAATGTTATTGCAAGAAGAAAATATGCTAAATTTAGTTTCATTAAATTTTTTTTTATCAGTACTAACGTTTGGACACAGGCCTTTACATTCTTGCTCAACCTGGTGGCTCTACTACTTGAGTCATGCCACCAGTCCAACATTTCACCAGTGAACTGAAGTCCAGGCTGGCTTTAAACTGCCATCCTCCAGACCTTAGCCTAAATAGCTAGGATTGTAGGTGTCAGTCACTAGCACCAAGCTCCACTCAGAACTTTGTCAAATATATAATTCTTATATTAAAAAACTTAGATGAAGATACACTAAATTACTGCTGTAAATACTTCTATACTGTTTAACTTTTAGAAGTAATACATATTTGTAAAAACAATACACAGAAGCAGTAATTATATTCTTATTATTAGAAAAAATGATTTGGAAGACTGTCAATTTGCTCTTCATAACTTAATAGAAAAAGGGAAGTCAGGCTCACAAAAGAATCTTAAATCTCTGGATTTTAGAATGGTTTAGTAACAAACAAGAGAAACAAGTGCCCAACTTGGTAGAGCTACGTAGTAGGCACACAAAAACTTGTTCTGGTCTATTCATAGGACTCTGGCTTAGCTGCCTTTTAGATTTCCCCATACAGCAAATACCTTCATTGTATACAAGAGGCTATATACAAGAGGCTGAGAACTGAGGATTGCAGTTGGAAGCCAGCCCAGGCAGGAAAGTCTGTGAGACTCTTATCTCTAATAACTAACCCCCATAAAAGTCAGAAATGGTGCTCTGGCTCAAGTAGTATAGTACTACCCTTAATCAAAAGAAGCTCAGGGACTGTACTCAGGCCCTAAATTCAAGCCCATGACTGGCACACACACACAAAAGAAGAAATTTTAAAATGTGTATACACTGCTACCTATTTCTGAATCTTTTCTCCTTCTGTCCTTTGGCAAGTTCCTTTCACTCAACTCAGTGTTGAGCAAGCCTAAAGGGCTCTTGGTCAGTTTCAAGAAAGTACATACAGTAGCAGTTGTAACTGATACTTCCTTTTTTATTTTTGAGACAGAGTGAGCCTGTGAGACTAGGAATGCAATCAACTTTGGGATCTTCCTGCCATAGTCTCCCACAGTCACTTCTACTGTTAGCACTTACCAGGGTTTTACATTTTACAAACTTTCCTCTGTTTCACTCATTCCTTATAATTGCCCTGAGGTAGAAATGACACATAAGAAAACCAAGGGTCTATGAGATTATGACTTGTTTAAGGATTTCTCCATATTCATACTTAAGAATGAAGTATGACTTAAAAATCATGCTATCTATAATTAACTATATTTTTGGTAGTACTGGCAATTTGAACTCAGGGCTTCACACTTGCAAGGTTCTCTAAATTATCTTTTTAAAATAAATATAACTCCAGACTTGCAATTAGAGTATTCACCGAGAAATCTAGAGTTAAAAATACACATACACAGAAACACACCTCATTATTTCTAAAAGTACTCCAAAAATACTATTTACATAATAGTTCAATTTTATGTTCAAATTATAATTTTCAAACTTAACTTCTATTATTTCTTAGTATTAAACCTCATGGATAGTAAACAATTTTTGAAATGCTATCAATAGACTCAAGAGCTATGAATAAAGAAAAACTATCCTTTAACAAAAAGCAGTTAACATTTTGTGCTAATTAATGATTTTATCCTTACAGTAAACAACAGTTTAAGAAATATTGAGTTTTGAATACCTTTTGGTTATTTGTAGTGGATCATCTAGGACTGGATCATTTTCAAATGTTTCCTTATCGAAAAGTCGCCTTATAGCATAGTTTGCCAGTTGTTCCATAAGAAGGTATGTTTCATTAATGTGCAAAAACATTGAAAAGTAGTAACTCTCTCCTTGGGAACACACATGAATACTCTCTGTCAGGAGGACATTTGAAGTCTTCTCAAGTTTTGAGATTGCATCCCAGGAGATAACAAGTTTTACTGCAAAAAAGAGTTGTAAGTAAGCATGATTCAATTCTCAATATTCATTTCTGTTAATAAATCAGATATCTTAAAATAACAACTACTTACGTTTTAAATAGCTAAAATAACTTAGAGTTTGAGATTAGTTAAAAATGAGAAGCATTACTATGAATATACACTAACTTCAGAACAGATATACACTTAAAGAATTAAAACTGACTCTAGGCCAGGCACTAGTGACTCACACCTGTAATCCTCAAGAGGCTGAGATATGAGGATTCTAGTTTGAAGCCAGCCCAATCAAAAAAAGCATGTGGAATTCTTATTTCCAATTAATTACTAAAAAGCCAGAAGTGGAGCTGTGGTTTAAGTGGCAAAGTGTCAGCCCTGAGTGATAAATTCAAGCCTCAGTACTGACACAACAAAAACTAAATAACAACCCTTCCCGTCCCTCCCCCCTTCCAGACTCTAACTTGATGTTTAAGTCTATCTGCTTATATAACTATCTAATTACATTGTATAATCACTGACTGAAAAGATATGTGCATATGCTACAAGCAGTGATGTTTTATTCCTCTGTGGCTGCAAAATATTATGTGTGTCATTAGGTACAATGACTACTAATATATACTCTATATTTCAAGCAATAATTAAAATATGGACTGAAAAATTATTTTGTTATTTTTGTGTAATACTGAGGACTAAACCCAGGGCCTTGGGCATGTTAGGCAAGAACTCCACCTCTTGGGCTATGCCCTTAGCCTTCTATTTGTATTTTGTTTTTAGATAGTTTCTCACTAACTTTGCCAGGGCTAGTCTTGTACTTGAAGATTCTCCTACCTCTGCTTCCCAAGTAGCTGGAATACATGTGTGACAAACGTGTGACAGCCAATGAAATGCTCTTTAAACCAAAGCAACTGGGATGTGTCACACATCCCAAGTAGCTGTAATATATCACATCTGGCTGCACATAGGTAGTTTGTAAAAAGGGAACAAGACAGATTACTATCATTTAATATTAATTCACTTCCCACAATATGAGAGCCTTTTTTTACACAATTTCTAATGTTTTCCTATGTTAAATAACCTGTTTTATTTTTATAGATGAAATGAACTTTTGTAGTTGTAGTTTAATTACCTTTAATATCAATCCCATTATTTTATATACAATGAATACCACTACAGAGTTGACAGGTTAGTCAACAAATTCAAAGCCATGATAAGAAAAAAAAACTTACTTTCTGATCCCAGCAAAAAAGAATAGAAACTCAGAAAGTTGGTACTAAGATAAATCCAACCCTGACAAGGAACCCGTCCTTTCCAATAGCTGCATGAATAATAGGTTACTAATTTCTCCTGCTCTGGTAAACCAAAAGATTTTTCAAATTTCAAAAGGGCTTCTCGAAATTTCTCAGGATCATCTTCTTTTGCGAAACTTTGTTTTCCCTCCTCAGCAATTAATCCCTAGAGGAGAAAAAATATTTTTGAAAATTTATCATCATTTACCAATAAGAACACATTATATACATTTAATTTTAAATAGTCAATAAAACACAATGGCATATATCTCTACAGGTACGTGTTATATGTATTTGTGTACATATATATGTGTAGTACATACACACTTAGGATGAAAGTGAGAAAATGTTCTTCAGTTTTATGTTACATTTCTTTCTAATGCTTTAGAAGGATCTACCAGAAATATAAATGTTAACTATCTTCTTTGAATCAACAAAAATTTTATTCAAACCCAAAACTCAAGAGATAATGAAATGAAAATACCACTACAACATTTACAAGGGAAAAAAAGACAAATAACTGACTTTAGAATTCTTTAAGAACTAGTTCTGGCATTCATATATGTGTTTCTACCAATTCTGAAACATACCAGTTTTTTTAATCAACCTTTCATGCAACCTCTGATCCTTACCTAAGAAGGCAAAAGACATTACCAGTCCATTTACAAAGTACATCCATGCTACTTACTCTTATCTTGCCTTGCACAAAATTAGTAATATCTTCATTTGAATCAAATACAGATAAAGTTGTCATGATATTTTGTTCCAACCATTCCCAATGCTTGGTTATTTCTTCTTTGCTGGCTCCTAATTAACAACATGAGAAGGAAAGGCTTAAGGAAAATTCCACAACAAATCTGCTCTTGAATTTAGAGGCTTAGTTTTGAAAAATACTCCCTCCCTTTCAGAAATGATCATAAAGTAATAAAAGCATTAAGCATATTCATCATAAAGTAATAAAAGCATTAAGCATAAGTATATGTGGACATGATCAGTAGATGTCAGTATAGAAAGAGTAAGATAATAAGAGGGGAAAAAAGTATTTCAGCTTGTGAAAAAAGAAAAACTTCTGAAAGCAAAGTAACAGTCTGGTGTCTAGAGAGCAACCACTGTCTTTCATGAGAACATGTGCAGTACTGAATTACATGTAAACATATTCAAATTCTGGTTCTTCAACTAACATCTAGTCTAAAATCTATGTGGTAAAGATGGCATGCAAGTAACAATCCTATGCATTTTATGTATAAGTGGATTTCCATTGTGGCCAATCAACTTTTGAGAGTCAGATTAAATATTATTTCTAGATTGCTTTGGATTAAAGAACATTTCATTGGCTGTCAATATCTTCTACACCAGGCAATGTATTATTTTTGGCAGTACAGAAGGATTGAACCCAGCGCCTATTGCTTGTCAGGCAAGCTATGCCCTAGCCCTTTTGAGATAAGGTCTCCCTAATTTTCCCTGGACTGACCTTAAACTCATGATCCTCCTGCCTCTGCCTTCTGAATCATAGAGATGTGCTACTATACCCAGCCCCCCATATGCTTTTAAGATCTTCTCAGAATTGTAGATTATATAAACATTATTGAAAAGAAGTAACAATGCAAAAATTGCCTACCTCCTACTATTCACCTAGAATTTTGTTCATATTACTAAAGTCAGCACACTAAGAGTAAAAGAGCTTTCCTTAATGTAGCATGAATAAAAATTATGAAGAAATTTTAAGACCATTATTTTTATCCATTTGGCTTAATAAAGAAGTACATTTTCAGGTAATTGTATTTTTTTAAAGTAAGTTTCATTTAGAAGAATAATTTATATAATAATTCTTTACTTTTTTAAAGCAGAAAGGACAGGTTTCTTCTAAGTAATTTTGACTAACCAGATTTAGAACTGAGGTTACAGAATTTTCAAATTTCACTTTCACTTAGCATTTTATTTTAAAAATCCAGGAGAAAAGACTCCTCAGCCAAACTAAAAGAAATTTAGGGGAAAGAACAAAAAGCCATATCCTAAAAATTAATACTATGCTATATGTTCACACATATGAAATATGTGTGGGCTTAAAAAATACTTTGACTTACTTTACTAGGAAGAATTATTCTAATTCCTTTCCTACCCATAATATATGTGTGGAGACATCTGAAGCACATTAATATAAATGAATAATATAAGACATTATTTCATAGTTGAAGGATAAAATGCTTTTGTGAGAAAGTAGGCATGTGAATTTTAAAAAGTTAAATTAAAAAAATTGTTTTTACAGTCCTGGGGCTTAAACTGAGGGCCTCATGCTCTTGGTTTGTGTGCTCAGCTGGTACTCTACCACTTGGGCCATGCCACCAGCTTTGCTTTTTCATAGTTATTTTGGAGATAAGAGTCTCAGCAATTCCTCTGCCTTCAAATTGTTATCCCCTAGATCCCAGCTTCCTGAATAGCTAGGATTACATGCTGGTAAACAGCTTCAGACTTATCCTCTTTAGGAACAACCTTTAAATTTTGGACTCACAGTTAAGTTCAGATTCTCCTCATTTAGTTATTCTAAATTATTTGGGGGAAAATTCTTATCTTCAAGTCATATTTCATGGGAAGAATCATGTCTTTCCAGCAGTTAGAGTCATGTAGCAGTAACAAGACAAAAATCTGCCCAGAATCAGCATTGCTGGACCACATGCTTCAAGTCTCTTAGACCAATGGAATTATTAATTAATTAATTAATTAATCTGTAATTGTTCTTAAACAGGCAAAGTAGAGTCACACATTTAACTCACTTCTAAATCTTAAAACAATTAAGGAATATAAATAAATTTAAATATTCACTTTATTATGTTTATTGTATTTTAACTATTTTCAAAATCATACTCACCACATGCAATTGACCAGTAAAGTTGAGAATCTGGCGTCTGGTGTAGGATGCGAAATGGAGCTACTTTAGCAGTAGAGTCTAAGACTGAATCAAGGGTCCCAACCAGAAGCCCTATTGTAATACAAAGATGGTTGAAATCATTTTATATAACAAACTGACTTCTTTAACAAAATGTATAGCCTGAGTCTTGATACACATTTGTTCTTTTATTTTTCTTTTTTGGGGCAGCTTTTAAAAAAATTACATTAAAAAGTTTTATTGTTATATTCCAACACATTTACAATGTATTCTAATCAATCTCACTCCCTCTATCACTTTCCCTTCCCAAAACAATTTCAGTAAGTTTCCTTGCTCTATTTTAACCTTTGATACAGACTTTTAAGGAAAGATACATAATTGAGATGAAGAGATTATCATGACCAGAGTGAGTAGTATTTAGGAAAATCATCTTCCAATAAAAAGTCATGTTGAATTATCCAAATCTTACAATGTATTTGCAGTACTTATAAACTTCCACAAAGCAGCTGTGTATATAATAGAAAAGAATATAGAATCTACTAGGTGTTGGTGGCTAATGTCTATGAAACTAGCTACTTAGGGGGCTGGAAAGGTGGCTCAGTGGTAGAGCGCTTGCCTTGCATTCATGAGGCCCTGGGTTCAATTCCTCAGCACCACATAAGCAAAAAGAAAAAAGCCGGAAGTGGCGCTGTGGCTCAAGTGGTAGAGCGCTAGCCTTGAGCTGAAGAGCTGAGGGACAGTGCCCAGTTCCAGAGTTCAGGCCCCACGAACGGACCTCAAAAAAAGAAACTAGCTACTTAGGAGGCTGAGATCTGGAGGCCTGTTGACATAGAATTAGCCTAGGCAGAAAAGTCTTCAAAACTCTAACTCCAATTAACCAGCAAAAGCTGGCATGAGTAAAGTGAAAAGAATGACAGTCATGATCAAGAAAGCCAAGTCAAGCTGGGCGCTGGTGGCTCACGCCTGTAATCCTAGCTACTCAGGAGGCTGAGATCTGAGGATCGCGGTTCAAAGCCAGCCCGGGCAGGAGAGACCGTGAGACTCCTATCTCCAATAAACCACCAGAAAACCGGAAGTGGCACTAGCTCAAGTGGTAGAGCGCTCGCCTTGAGCTGAGGGACAGCACCCAGGCCCAGAGTTCAAGCCCCATGACCGACAAAAAAAAAAAAAAAGAAAGCCAAGTCATACAGTATTTTCACAATAAAAAAATAATTAATTAAAAAAAAGAAAGCCAAGTCAGAGTTTGAATCATGGAGCCAGCAAGCAAACAAAAAGAATGCATAGAAAGTGGTATCAGAGAATACCTGCATCTCAACCTTGGCTGGTCACTTGTTTTCAATTTCATTGTACTGGGGGCTGAAAAGGTGGCTCAGTGGTAGAGCACTTGCCTTGCATGCAGGAGGCCCTGGGTTCGATTCCTCAGCACCACATAAGCAGAAAAAAAAGCTGGAAGTGGCGCTGTGGCTCAAGTGGTAGAGTGCTAGCCTTGAGCTGAAGAGCTGAGGGACAGTGCCCAGGCCCAGAGTTCAGGCCCACGACCGGACTCCCCAATTTCATTGTACTTATCATTTCTGCATCATCAGTAAAACAAAAATCTGCCTTCAAATTGTTATCCCCTAGATCCTAGCTTCCTGAATAGCTAGGATTACACGCTGGTAAACAGCTTCAGACTTATCCTCTTTAGGAACAACCTTTAAATTTTGGACTCACAGTTAAGTTCAGATTCTCCTCATTTAGTTATTCTAAATTATTTGGGGGAAAATTCTTATCTTCAAGTCATATTTCTATCACAAAGGATTGTGGTAAACATTAAATAATCAAATATAAATCATTCAAAACAACGTTTAAGCACACAGCAAAAAACTCAGTATTAGTTACTTTAAAATAAGAAAATCTAACCCAGACTGTGCATCCTAACTCCCCAATCAGGGCAGCTCTGAGACCTGCAGCTTTAATCCAGGAACTCAGGGCTTATTTTTCTGATTAAAGAGAATAAATATGTCATGCTTCTGTAAGGTATATTAATTAGATAGGTTTCATTAGGTAGCCAATGAAGAGAACACCACACGGTTTTCAGGCAGGAAAAGAAATTTATTTACAGAACTGTTCCTCACCCCCCACCCCCCCATGCATGGTGGAGAGGCCTGGCCCACCCCAGGGCTTATCAAGGCCAGGGATGGGAAGAGATGTGGCCACACTGGATCTGACGTGACCTCAGGGCCTGGGACCCTCCTACAGTCAAGTGGGAGGCTGACTGGGGGCAGCCCAGGATGTGATCTCTCAGGAGGGGGAGGTGACTGCTCCCAGGTGTGCCAGTTACCTAGGTAACACAGATATTGGGTAGAAACTTAGCCAAGGGGTAGGGATGTGTCTGCACGGGGCCTGCCTGGCTCAGGGCAGACTTTACAGCAGTTAGTCTTAAAAAATAAGATAATGAAATAAGATAAAAATTGTCATTAATAATAACATATTGTAAAATTTTTTTTTCTTTTTCTTTTTTTATTGTGAAAATACTGTATAGAGGGGTTACAATTACATCGGCAAGATAATGAGTACATTTCTTATCAAGCATTGCAGCCTCCTCCTTTGTTTCCCCTTCCCATCACTTATCACCCCCCCGCCCCCCGCCCCCGCCAAAGTTGTAAAGTTCGTTTTTCGACATTACGTCTTGTAGATCTCATTGTTGCAATGGGTCCACCTGTATCCCTATTTAAACGATTTGTTTTTTCCCTTCCCCTCCACAAATTATACCAACATCAAATACAGTGAAAGCAGGGTTTATACCGTGGGGGAAGGACATACAAAGCAGCAAAAAAATCATCTTATAAATATATTTGAAACAATCGCATGAAAGAAAAAACATTTGAATACTTATCTTGAGGTTCATTTCACCTAACATCAACTTATCTGACCTTTTGTTGGTGGGAGTGTAAACTTGTTCAACCACTTTGGAGAGTAGTATGGAGGTTCCTCAAAAGACTATACATAGAGCTCCCCTATGACCCAGCAAACCCACTTTTAGGCATTTACCCGAATGATCACAAACAGGACCATACTAAAGCTACCAGCACAACTATGTTTATTGCAGCATTATTTACCATAGCTAAGATATGGAACCAACCCAAATGCCTCTCAGTAGATTAATGGATAAAGAAAATATGGTATATATACACAATGGAATTCTATGCCTCAATCAGAAAGAATGACATTGCCCCATTTGTCAGGAAATGGAAAGACTTGGAAAAAATTATATTAAGTGAAGCCAAGCCAGGCCCAAAGAAACATAGGTCCCATGGTTTCCCTTATTTGCAGTAACTAGCATATGTCTAAAAGTTTTTATTAAGCTGGGCACTCATGTCTCAGTCCTGTGATTGTAGCTACTTCAGGAGGCTGAGATCTGAGGATCATAGTTCAAAGCCAGTCTGGACAAGGAAAGTCTGTGACTCTCATCTCCAACTAACCACCAGAAAAACCTGGAAAAGGGTTCTTGATTTTAGCCATTCTAACTGGAGTGAGGTGGTAACCCCTCTGTACAGTATTTTCACAATAAAAAAATAAAAATAAAAACAAAACAAAAAAAAAACAAATTAAAAAAAAACCTGGAAAAGGAGCTGTGATTCAAGTGGTAGAGCACTAGATTTGAACACTAAAGCCCTCAGAGCCCAGGCCCTGAGTTCAAGCCCTAAGACTGGCATGAAGAAGATTCCCCCCTCCCTTTTTTTTCTTTTTACAATTCTTATTTCCTCAATATGGAATCTGAGTACTTGATTGATTAGTTCCACTTAAATTATCTGGCTAGATTTTCCACTACTTTCTACAACAAAATTTGCTGTTTTCTTAAGCAAACAGCTAAGTTCTCCCTTAGCGTTTTGCTAAATAATTATTAAATTTTTTTACTGAAAAATGCTAGCAAAAGTCTTCTACCCCAGTTCAGATAGTCTACATTTTATATTTTATATTTTCTGTGTGTGTGTGTGTGTGTGTGTGTGTGTGCGCGCGCGCGTGCATGCGCCAGTTCTGGAGCTGGAACTCAGGGCCTGGATGTTGTCTTGAGCTTTCTTTACTTAAGGCTAGTGGTCTACCACTTGAGCCACAGCTCCACTTCTGGTTTTCTGGTGGTTAATTGGAGATAAGAGTTTCATGGACTTTCCAGCCAGGGCTTGCTTTGAACTTTGATCTTCAGATTTCAACTAGAATTTCAGGCATGAGCCTTCGGCACCAGCTTCATTTTATATTTTCTTCAAAACATACTTCTATGTGATTTTCACTGGCAATCCTAGGCAATAATGTTTTCCCTGTTCTCTGAACACTTATTCTACATAAGTTTTATACTACACAATTTAGCATTTGCGTAGTAGGGTGATTATTAAAATCACTTTCTATGTGCTTCATGTACAATATTTGTATATTCTTATGAACATTACTAGGGCTCACTATAGCTATGCTTTCTACCTCTGAATTTGGATTCTTAAGTTTCAACATATGCTTGCTAACCTAGCAATGTCAGTGGAATGAATGGACTACACAAATTTACTTATCTTTTCTAGACACTTTAATTGGTTGAGCATTGTTTTTGGTTTACAGATTTTTGAAAGAAATTATAATCAATTATAAATGAGAAGTTTAGCTTTTTCTTCATCTTTACCTACTTGAAAGGAATTAATATTTCAAATAAGCTTTGAATGAGCATATAAGTAATTCGGTAGATATGAGGCAGGAAATTATTATAAACACAAAAGGCAATACATTGGTAGAAATCAAAGAGAGTAAGGGATATTTGATTGGCTGAAAACAAGGTGGGATAATGGATGTAAGAACAGATAAAAAGTTAAAACAGCCAGGCACCTGTAATCTTGGCTACTCAGGAAGGCTGAGATCTGAGGATCATAGTTTGAAGCCAGCCCAGCCAGGCTAACAGTAAGTCCATGAGGCTCTTATCTCCATTTAATCACCAGAACAGCTGGAAATGGAGCTGTGACTCAGGTGGTAGAGTGAAAGCCTTGAGCACAAAAGCTCAGGGACAGTGGCTTGGACCTGAGTTCAAGCCCCAAGTCTGGCACACACACAAAAAGTAAAAACAGTGTGCACAAATG